GCAGATCTCTGACTAGTTTCCAGAGCTCACAGTTTTTACAACTATCTCTCTCAGAAAACAGGGGCCTGATCTTCCTAGCCCAGCACTTTCTGATGTCCTTCCTCAAAATCAATGCAAACTTTATCCTTCTGTGTCAAGCACTAGACTCAGTCACGGGAGGGACCCCCAGGGACTCCTTGCTTTACTTCTTTCAAGACTGTTGCCGTAAGTTGGTACCTGATAGCATGGCCCTATGCTCTGGCGTTTTCTCCCTTCCTCCAGACCTGAGGGCAATAAGGCTTCCCTGTGCTGGTGATAAAGACTCTAAATGCGAACAATTACCAGGTGTCTAGAACCCAGTTTCTATATAACAGCACAGCCTATTTCCCTGTTCAGGCTCTTTCTTGTAGCTGTCTGATCTATGTGTAACTCATTTTTTCCGCTTCATTGTAACTTCATCAGTATGTGTAACTTACAAGACTACAGAGCTTGACTTCTCAACTGAGAGAGTTCTTACCACAGAGAACGTGAGGTCCCCGATTGGACACTAAAGCAAACACTGGAAGATCATCTGTCAAGTGTCATACAGTGAAAGAAATATTACTCAGCACAGAACTGTACTTCACACCTAAGGTGTTCTTAGTCATACCTTGAAATCCAGGGTTTTTAAAGACATGCATAGTAGGATGGTGGATAAGGAGGGGTAAAATGTCATCCTTTACTCAAGCCTGGCATCTTCCAAGATGAGACTATGATACTGAAGGAATACATGTGTACATTTTGCTTTAAAACTCATCTGGGTTCCACTGAGAGGCACCAAAATACATGATGAACTGTTTTGAATCAGGCAGTAGGGACTTTAATATAATAAGCTCCTATAATAACATGAAAGAATTAAGTCTAAATGCAAAGACTTAAAAATGTATTGACTTTTGTTCACTGATGCTGTAGTCTCTTAGCAAACCTTCTAAAGGTGTACTTGATGTCTGGTGTGGGAGACATCACTGTGATTCTAGAACCTGGGGGATCTGAGGCAGCACAGTCCACAGCCACATACAGTGAGATGTCTCAAAAAACAAAAATGAAACAGTATGAGACAAGAGACACAGTTGTGGATAGTGACGATGATCACCCAGCGGCGGGAGCCATGTGACTTCTTTGGGAAACATGACCTGAGAACAGCACGAATGGCTGTCCTTGCAGCAAGGCCCTGAGACCTTGGCCCACTTGGCAAAGACCCATGGGCAGTTCGCTGCATAAATACGGGCATGACCCTGGGAGCATATATGCTACGTACTCTCCATGCTTTTGCTATACAAGCCATATTGCTGGCTGTCTTTAGTTTCATTCTCTCAGTCACAGATAAAATAGCTATTGCAAAAGGAAAACTTTCCCCTGATGACTCTTCTCTGAGTGAGCCAGAGCGAATGCTGCTAGAAAAATATACAGTGGACCTGATTCAGCCCCCAAACTAAAGCCTTTGATAGTTCAAGTGTGACCATGAATTCAGGCTTTTAAAGAACAGGATGCTGTCTTTCCAATACACCCTGTAACCAGCCTGAAGGAATCACAATAGTTCATGAAGTTTTTCGTTTGGTTGGTTTTTTTCTTTTTGCATAACTGGAGAAATGCTAATAAATGATATCAGGAGTTAATGGGAGCAGTCTAGAACAGGGGAAGAAGTAGAATCATAGAAACCCAGTTATCTCATTTCTAATAACTGTGCCAATACCCTAAGAAGTTAAAAGAGATAAGACGACAGCTGGAGTTTCTGTCCCACTAGGTCCCACCACCTTTCAGCCCCAAATAAGCACACAGAGACATATTAATTATTAAACCATCTGGCTGACTGCTAGGCTTCTTAATGGCTAGCTCTCTCTTAATTATTAATCCATTTCTACTTAACTTTGTATTGTCATGAGGCTGTGGCTTACCCGTAATCTGGCATGTTATTCCTTTGACAGCATGCCATCTCTCCGTGGCAGCTTCTCCCTGATGTCCTCTCCCTAGCCTTCTCCTCCTGGTCTGGTAGCCCTGCCTGTGCTTCCTACCTGGCTACTGGCTAACCAGTGTTTTATTCATCAGTCAATAGAAGAAACATGTTCAGAAGGACTCCCTCCCCATCAATAGAAATAAGAACAAGGGATAAACATGGCCAACTATTAAGAGTAAGTTTCCAAGTTACACTACTTATAGAATAAAAGAAAAAAACCTGGCATATCTCCAGAGGTGATATAGTGGCACAGAATATAGAATGGCGTGGTCCAGCTTTGGCTGGTGAGGTGATTGTGAGAACCGAGACCCTATCAGATGCAAATACATTAACCACTAGAGACAAAATTGTCTCTTACCCTGCATGACGCCATAACCACAAATGCTGCCAATTGGGCACAGTATTCTACCTGTAGGTGTGCCTTGTTAGAAAACTTCCATTGTGGCTTGTGACACTGCTTATGCTTCTAACATTAGAGCTACAGATCAACTAGGTAATGGTGACTGGTGGGAAAGTTGGGGGACGGAAGGGGAAAGCAGCAAGGAACAAACTGATAATTCTTGTAACCTTTTTTAGAAACGTAAGGAAGCAAAACTGGCTGTATCAAGGATCTAGGAATGGTAGCCAAAGTAGTCATCAGTCTCTTTATAGGGGAAGGGCATCAAAGGCAGCCTCTCCACCACTGCCTAGATTCTTAGTTGGAGCCATCCCTGTGGATCCCCTACCATTTCTTCTGTGCCAGACCTCTCTCCAAACCTGTACTGGCTCCCTTTATCGAGGCATCTCCTTTCTTGCCCTCCCCTATTCCTCCCCAGTAGCTGATCAAAGCAGAAACAGGTACCCACAGCTGAGCACAGAGCCATACTACTGGAATCCAGTTGCAGAGAGGGAGGAGAGATGACCAAATGAACCAAGACAGAGCTGGAGATTCCTGCAGAAACAATTGACCTGGCCTAATGAGAGCAAGCAAACCCTAGTCGTAAAGCGGGGGAACCAGCATGGGACCAAACCAAGCTCTCTGAATGTGGGCGCCAGTTAGGAGGCCAAGGCAGTCTATGGAACCTCTAACAGTGGAGCCAGGGTTTATTCCTGGATCACAAAAGGACTTTGGGAGCCCTTTCCCTATGGAGGGATACTATTGCAGCCCAGATATGAAAAGGAGGGCCTGGGCCCTCTTCAAAATGATGTGATGAACTTTGATGGTCTCCCTTGATGGATCTCACTATCCCTGGGGAGTGGGTGGTGGGTGGGTTGTGGGGTCAGTGGGAAACATGGGAGGATGGGAGGGTTAGGGAATGGGGGGATGGATATGTAAATAAGAGTGTTTCTAAAAATAAAAAAGGCAGAAAAAATTATAACTGATCATGGTAGCTTGACTAGTCATATTGAATAGTTTTCCCAAGACCACACTTCCAAATTAAAATACTTGCAATCATACATTAAAAAAAAACCACTGTAAAACTGTTCATGCAAACCATTAAAACCATATAAATAAAAACAGCCCAGGCTATCCGGAGTCACTTGTTTGAACAACAGGTAGCCACAGTATCTTCTTAGTACTGGCTTCACACACTGGATTCCCAAGTCATCAAATCTGTCTGGAGCAAGGCTCCCAGCAACCCACAGATGAAAGAGATAAATCAGACAGCACAAAGACACTGTCTGATATAGATATTTACAAGGTTTCTCTGTTCATCACTTCAAAAAACTATGATTATTTTATTCCACTGAGTGTTTTGCCTGCATATATGTCTGTGTACCACGTGTGGTGTGCCTGGTGCCCTGTGGGGCCAGAGGAGGAGTCAGATCCCCTTGCACTGGAGTCACAGACGGTATGAGCTGTCACGCTGAAAACAGGGCCTCTGGAAGAACAGCAATTGCTCCTAACTGTTGAGCCATCCTTCCAGCCGCGAGTGCTCTTTCTAATGTTCCTCTTACCTAGCACCGATCAGAGAGCCATCTCTTTAACTAGCATGAGTTGCACTTGATGCTCACTAGCAGAGCTGTAGAAAAAGATTCAGCGTGTGAACACTTGGTGATGTGGCTAGTGCACTTTGCTTGCAGATCTGCGGGTGCTGAGCTGTTACAGAAGTCAACAGTTGTGGTCTCTTGAGTACATCTCTTTTAGAGTTGCATTTTTATTTGTGTGTGTGTGTGTGTGTGTGTGTGTGCACTCGAGTGCACTTGTGCTGGCTCCTGATATGTGTTGGTGCTAGCATGCCATGCCATGAACGCAGAGGTCAAGGGTCAACTTTGTGGAGTTGGTTCTCTCTTTCCACCTTGAAGTGGGCTCTGGGGATTGATCTCAGGTCCCCAGACTTGTGCATCAAGTGCCTTCGTCACTGAGCCATCTCTCCAGACTTTGTTTTCTTTTAAAAAAAGTATCTATGTGTGTGTGTGTGTGTGTGTGTGTGTGTGTGTGTGTGTGTCATGCATACACCTACATAAGTGCATAAAGAGGCCAGAGATCAACCTTGGGTATTACTTCCTTTGACACAGGGTTTCTTATGGGCCTGAAGCTTACCAGTTAGGCCAGAGTGGCTGGCTGGCCAGGACCTTCCCTAGTGCTGGGCTTACAATCATTCATGGCCATGCCTGGCTTTTTTCCCGTGGGCTCTAGGGATCAAAGTCAGGTCTTTGTGCTCACAAGGTCAACCCTTTTCTGACTGAACTATCTCTTCAGCCTGATTTGATGTGTTAAAAACATTAAAGCAGCCGGGCGGTGGTGGCGCACGCCTTTAATTCCAGCACTCGGGAGGCAGATGCAGGCAGATCTCTGTGAGTTCGAGGCTGGGCTGGACCGACAGCCTCCAAAACAATACAGAGAAACCCTGTCTCGTAAAAACCAAAAAAAAACAAAACAAACAAACAAACAAAAAACCAAAACATTAAAGCAACATATTTTACTTTCTAAATTAAGTGTCCCTGCTTGAAAGTGACGTATCAGTAAGTTTTTCTTCTACAGGTTCATACAGAATAGCTTTGCCAATCAAGCGGCGCTTCAAGAACCACTCATTTCAAACACACAGAGCACAAAATGTCGTTTAATTGCCATTACACCACACCAGAAGGTACTGCAGGAATCTTATCTAGTCAGAGCAAGTTGGAACATCGGCAACAAGAGGGTGATCTTAGAGGTTCAAGGTGTTCCAAAGAGTGGAGAGGAGCTCTGAAAACAGAGTAGCAACATATTATCACCGGAATTAGTCCAATTCTTTTCTGTGTTGTATGTCTCTGTGCCTGCACGTGAGGGCTCCCCTGGAGATAGTTACAAGTGGTTGGGAACTGCTCAGCAGGGGTAAGGGAGACCCAGCTCTGGCCTATCCCAAGAGTAGCAGGTACTCTTCATTGCTGAGCCATCTACCACTCTGTTTCTGGCCATGGGAAAAATAGGTGCTTCTAAGGTTCAAAACAGTCAGCAAGTCTAAAATCTATGGCAGTGCTAATTCAGATCAGATTTAGTATAGTCACAGCAGAACGTATGCTCCCTAGGAGATGATAATGATGCTAAAGTAACATTTGCCATTTAAAAACATCAAGTTGACAAGCGTTATGTCCTTTAAAGCCTTGGCAGCTGACTATGCAATATTTAAGCATTAATGGTTTGAATGGGGTGAATATTTTCTTTACTGGTGACTTAAAGTTATTATTATTTTTTTTCAGTACCCCACGGTCCTGTTGTGACAGACACGGTCTCTACCTTTGAGCTGCACTCGTTCCCAGCTCTTTATTTGTGATTTAAAAGTAATTATAACTTTGTTAAAATCAGGAGATAAAAACAGCAATGAGACAATAGAGCCCACCTGTTGCCTTTGAAGGACTCTCATCATCTGGTCCTACCCTGTTCTTCAGGGGCCGTCTGCACTGCTGTTCCGTAAGCACTCACATGGCTTTGCACACATCGGTTCCCATGGCACTTAGCCTCGCTGTGTCCATGAACACCTTCATGGGTGCTTACCCTTGGGATTCTTTCTCTCAACTGTGGATGGACGTGCAGCACACTTTCACGGAATAGTATTTAATGCTAAAGAAAAAGTATCTAGTTATTTGGTTTTACAGTATTCAATAACACTGTTATTATATTTGGTGTCGGGGAAGACAGGCTATGAAGGGACTCTAGCCAGCTTGAGTGTGGAAAACATGGCCCTGGCAGGCCTTGTCCTTCCCAATTCCTTCTGCCTTGCTAAAAACCGTTAGATTGCCTTCCTGTAGTAGCCAAGGTCTAATCCCTTATTTGGCCACTTCCTCCTTCTGAGGCTGATTACCAAGGTTCAGCTATCAAAGTATTGAAGTCCAGAAGTCCAAAGCACCTTTTGTCTCACCTAATTAACACACCCAATTAATTGACAATGTCATCTATGTGAACACATTTTCATCTCTGGACTGAGTGGGGTGAAGCAGTGATGTGAGGATTTCTCCACATGGCCACGTGTGTGCTTTCTTTTGAGAAATATCTCCAGATCAGCTGTCTATCTCAAGTTGGTCTTACTGCAACATATGCAGTATGAGCATGGTCGAGGGTGACAGGGCTGCAGCAATGGTACATTTCCTACTTGTGGCAGCTCTGCTGTGATCAAGCCTGACAGATGCATTTTTAGGAAACAGATCCAGAGTGACTCTTCTACAGTTCAGAGGCATAACAGTGTTAGGACTGACTGACACACTAACATAACAGTGTTATGACTGACACACTAACATAATAGTGTTAGGACTGACTGACACACTAACATAACAGTGTATGACTGACGCACTAACATAACAGTGTTAGGACTGACTGACACACTAACATAACAGTGTATGACTGACGCACTAACATAACAGTGTTAGGACTGACTGACACACTAACATAACAGTGTTAGGACTGACACACTAACATAACAGTGTATGACTGACACACTAACATAACAGTGTTAGAACTGACACACTGACGACACACTAACATAACAGTGTTAGGACTGACACACTAACATAAACATAACAGTGTTAGGACTGACACACTAACATAACAGTGCTATGAATGACACACTAACATAACAGTGTTAGAACTGACACACTAACATAACAGTGCTATGACTGACACACTAACATAACAGTGTTAGAACTGACACACTAACATAACAGTGTATGACTGACACACTAACATAACAGTGTTAGAACTGACACACTAACATAACAGTGTTATGACTGACGACACACTAACATAACAGTGTTAGGACTGACACACTAACATAACAGTGTTAGGACTGACACACTAACATAACAGTGTTAGGACTGACACACTAACATAACAGTGTTAGGACTGACACACTGACGACACACTAACATAACAGTGTTAGGACTGACACACTAACATAATAGTGTTAGGACTGATACACTAACATAACAGTGTTATGACTGACACACTAACATAACAGTGTATGACTGACACACTAACATAACAGTGTTAGAACTGACACACTAACATAACAGTGTTATGACTGACGACACACTAACATAACAGTGTTAGGACTGACACACTAACATAAACATAACAGTGTTAGGACTGACACACTAACATAACAGTGCTATGAATGACACACTAACATAACAGTGTTATGACTGACGACACACTAACATAACAGTGTTAGGACTGACACACTAACATAACAGTGTTAGGACTGACACACTAACATAACAGTGTTAGGACTGACACACTAACATAACAGTGTATGACTGACACACTAACATATGTGGAGACACAGAGAAAGAGGATCTGGGTAAGCCTATGCGTGAATTCTTTCTAGAATCATTTCAATTTCTCTCTAAATTCGAATTAATAGGAACAGAAAAAGTTAAAAGCCCCTATCACACTCTGCAACACAAAGTCAGTTAATGGAAAATGGACATGGAGTGAATTAAAGCGGCTGCTTTATGATATACCTAGTTCCCGTTAAATATAAATATCACTGTTATCTCTTTACCTCTAAGGAGATGCTTTCTTGTAGTAGAACCAGAAGGGTGCAGATAATCTGGAAGTTTGAGACCCTTTTCATCTGAGTTTGCAGACGTAGGCTGCCCTGAAAAATGAGAACATCAGGGGATGATACCAGCAATTAAATAATTTCGATTTTTGAAGACTTAAGTCTCTGCTTCATTCTAAGTGTACAGTCATCTACATAAAGCAGTATAACCGGCACAGATGGATTCTGCCTGAGCTACCCTTGCCTGCTAGCTTATGTGCTGGTCAAGAATATTCACTATGGTGTAAGTGCATACCCTGGTCCCAGCAGTCAGGAGGTTGAGGCAGGGGGATGGGTACTGGCCTGCTAGCCTTCCTACATATGGAATATGATGCCAGCCTTCATAAACACAGCACTCCTGTCTCAAAAAACAAATAGGAGGCTGGAGCAGTGACTCAGTGGTTAAGAGCATTGGCTGGTCCTTGAGAGACTTGATTCCCAGCACCCACATGGAGGCTTACAATGATCTATTACTCTGGTTTCTTCTTTTGATCTCCAGGCACCAGGCATGCACACACATACACCCAGGCAAAATATTCATATACATTTAAAATGAACATTTTTTAAAAATATAAAAAACCCAAAAAGTTCAAAACAGTAGGACAATAAACAATGAGTATTGCTTATGCTTATGAGTATGAGTAGCTAAAATGTAAATTTTCAGTTATAGTAACCTGCATATGGAAATACCCTTATATTTGGAATTGAAGGCAATATTCTAACAATGGAAAACCACAATGGAAGAAGTGAGAGAGGGCTGGTGTGTGGTTCAGCCTAGCATATATGAAGCCCCGAAGGAATGCCTGGCACAGAGTAACCACAGTGTGGTGACATGCTACCATAATACCAGCACTTGTGAGATATAGGCAGGATAATAAGATGTTCAAGACCGTCCTTAGTTATACTGGAAGATCTTTGATGTCCACCCAAAAACGCATTGGCAAATGAAGTATTGTATAGGGTTTTCTTCTGTGTTTTATTTTAGTATTTTTATAGTTTAACTTTTACTTGGAGGTCTTTGATTCATTTTGAGTTGGCTTTTGAACATAATTTAAGGTAAGTGCCTTCATTTTATGGTTCTGCATAGGATATACAGTTAACCAGCACCGTCTCTGACAGACCACTCTCTCCACACTCTGGGGTTGGCCACAGAAGTGAGTTTAATTCTCAGATCTCTCATTGTTTCACTGTCTGGGTGTCATCTGTCTGCATGTTGAGGCAATAATGCTTCTTCTGTAGCTTGGGAGCAAGTTCTGAAATCATGAAGCATGCCTTTTCTTACTTGGTTCTTTGACAAGATTATTTTGACCACCATAGTCTTTGGAGAAATCATCTGAATTTGGAAATGGACTTTTCTACTCATGTGAAATGTTTTTGGAGTTCTTATAGGGACTTTTCAGATTCTTTAAATCATATCCTGTTGTTCTGACACTTAAAATATAACTCCATGCCAGGCATGGCTGCGCATGCTTTTAATCCTAGCACTTGGGAGACATAGGCAGGTAGAGCTTTATGAGTTTAAGGTCAATCTGGTCGACATAGTAAATTGTTGGTCAGTCAATGGCTATGTAGTGAGACCGTCTCAAACAAACAAACAAACACACACATAATTTAACATTGTTATCATTTCAGTCCATCAAAAGACTACTGGTGGCTAGGAGGAAAAGAGGCAATTTTTTTCCGTGTATTTACTGGCAGAATTACTAATTTATCACTTACACACGCTAATCAGTTAGGTAGTTAGTTAATTGATATGTTGTGAATCTGGGTGTCTTTACACCGCATATGTGTTCCAGTGTGGTTTTCATATCATGTGTATGAGCATGCATGGATGTCAGTAGTGAACAATGAGTTTCATTCCTCAGGTGCTAGTCATGCTGTTTCTTTTGAGACAGGGTTTCTCTCTGGTGCAGAACTCCCAGTTTAGGCTGAGGAGACTGGCTAGTGGGCCCTAGGGACCCACATGTCACTGCCTCTCCAGTTTTAGGATTACAAGCCATTTACCGAGCTATCTCCCCACTCTTATTGCCCGTTTTCCGCTCTCCCTCTCCTTCTCCTCTCCTCTTTCCCATCTCCCACCCCCATATAGGCCAAAGGTTGATGGCAGGTGTGTCTTCCTCAATCAGTCTCTACAGAGTTTAAAATTATTGATTTATTTGGTGTGTGTGTGTGTGTGTGTGTGTGTGTGTGTGTGCACGCATGTGCCTGTCACTTGTGTTTGGGTCCCTCTCATCTTGCTAAGCAAGAAGAGGGTGTCACTTCCCCTGGATCTGGAGTTACAAGCAGTTGGGAGTTGCCTGTAATGGGTGCTGGGAATTGAATTTACAAGTGGAAGGAGAGCAAACATGCAAAATCAGAGAGCCATCTTTTCAGCCCTCCACCTTGGTTTTTGGGAAGGGGCTCTCAATGAACTCTGAGCTCTCCAATTTGGCTAGACTTGCTGGTCAACAATCCTCAGAGACCCACATGTCTCTGTCTCCCCAGGGCTGGGATTACAGGAGTGTGGGTGCTGTGTGTGGCTCTTTGTGTGGTGCTGGGGAACCCAAGGCTGTACCACAAGCACTTGACTGACAGAGCTCGATGACCAGCCTAGCTCCTCTGCGTTTTATAGAAACATAAACAACCTAATAAATAACGTACAATGATACTATAGCTCCATTGATTGTGGTTTTAACAATAAAAATAAAAGGGTCTCTCAATAAGTGAATTATTGAATAAACTATGATATGTCTTTTTCAGTTCATCATGCAGGAAGGTAGAGCTGGGAGAGATGAAGAAAATGTATCCACTTACTTTGGCTAATGGTAAGGGGTGCGGTCCATGCACAGAATCCTTTATTGTACAGAACCACAAAGCCCTCCATACACCTATCTATTCATACAGAAATCATGGATCACCTGCTGTGATTGTTACATTGGCTGCTTGTTGGAAAGGCTCAAAGCTTGAGTATAGTCGTAAACCCAAAATGGATCTGGAACACAGTGTCACTTTACAGGTCTATCTTACGGTGACCCCTTTACTTTTAAGCCCACGCTTACTGGAGGCAGATCCTGAAGGAACCAGATTATTTGGAAAGCCAACACCTTCCTTGTCTGATGTTGTAGCTTTAGGCTGTCCTGGAAACACATGAACAATGTCACTCAAGGATAACAGAAATAAACGGATTTTATTTTATTGAGACACAGTCTTTTTATCTAGCCCTGGCACACCTAGAACTCACTTTGCAGACCAAACTGGCCTCCAACACACAGGGACTGCCACCTCTGCACTGGGTGCTGGGATTAATGAAGTACCTCACCATGCTTGAAATAGACTATTTTTAATTCTTAGAAAGTTAAAAATGACCTTAACCGTCTAGCAGAGCCTCTTACAACCCTCTTCAGTCATTTAGACAAAGTAACTTAGCCAGCATAGATACACTCTGTATGGATATTCCTTTATCATGTCAACATAAGAGTGTAAGTCAGTCATGGGGTGGCAGTGTATACTTTTACTCCCAGCACTTGGAAGACTGAGGAAGGTTGATCTCTGTGAGTTCAAGGCCAGTTTGGTCCACAGAGTGAGATACAGTACAGCCAGGGCTACACAACACAGTGAAACTCTGTTGAACACCCCCCCCCAAAAGAGTAAGTCAGTGGTGCCAATATACACTGACACTTTTGAGGCTAAGGTCTGAGGGTGTTGGAGATCTGGAGACTCTCTGGCCAGCATAGGGAGTCTGATGCCAACATTCTTTTGACACAGCAAGATCCTGTCTCAAAGGAAGAATGATGTCCTAATTCAAACACACATATCCAAAGATTTCATACACAACGGAGTGGGAAGTATCTGTGTTTCCAGGCCTGGTTTATCTCACTCACAATTATTATTTCCATCTTGATCCATTTACCTTGAATTTTACGACTTCAGTTTCCTTTACAGATCCACTATATGTATCATATTTTCAATATCCGTTTATCTATTGATAGATGTCTAGGCTGTATTCATTTCCGTGCTATTGTGAGCATGGAAGCAATGAATGTGCATGTGTAAGTATCTCTGTGGAATATAGAGTTATTTATGAACACACCCAACAGTGGTAAAAGTGGATCATATGGTAAATCTAGTTTATATATGAAACTTCATAGTGATCTCTACAGTGCCTAACAATGAGTGTTTTTTCCTTTGTGCATATCTACACCAATGTTTGTTGTCTTTTTTTCAATTGTAACCATTCTAACTGGGGTTAGATGCAGTCACGAAATAGTTGGTTTGCTTTTTCCTAATGGCAAAGGATAAAGAACACTGAAAAATATTTGCAAATACCCAGTCATTTTTTTCTCCTTTTAAGAACCCTGTTTAGTTACATGGTCCAGAAAGACAAATGCTGCATATTCCTTCTCATACAGGGAGTCTATATTTAAATATTTAGATAAGTTTTTAAACTGTAATTCATAGAAGTAAGGAAACTTTTAGGATGGTGCCATGGAGGGCAGATCTCAAGAGAGAGAGTAACAGAATGCAGGTGATCTGAAGCAGGAAAAAGGGGAATGCTGAAATGGGGAAGATTAAATGGGGTGGGGAATGTGGTTACAAACACACTACTAGGGAGAAAAGTAATTAGCAGCCTTACCCAGGTGGGACGCCTGTGAGCTACAGTAACAACTGGCCTGGCAAGCTATGCCAATGGTGTAATAATGAATGGCATGGGTGTTACAGAAGAAACCACCACTTTCTGATTGGATTTAAAGGCTGTAACACAAGATAAAGCTCATTTCCAGTATTAGTAACTGGGTCAAAAACTCATGGCTGCCTACATTATGGGGGAGAACCTAATACTATTATTCTCTCAAGCAGGTGCAGAAATAAACCACCACCTAAGTTTTTACCCTTCAATCCACAGATGGATGCATCTTTCAACTCTCATCAAAGGACCTTCATTTTGCAGTAGATGGTGAGTAACACAGACATCCATGACTGGTCAGTGTGCAGAATACATGAGACTGTGGAATATCCACCTCTAAATGAGAACTCTAAATGACACTCCCTTCCCTTGGTACTAAGGGACCATTGTGGAAGATACGGAAGAAAGACTGTAAGAGTCATATGTAGTGGACACCTGTATCAAAATTTTTGTCTGGTATAACAAGGTCATGACACACATGACTTTAACAGTGACTGTGACCAAATAAATGCTTAAGACCCGAGTAAGATTAAATCAGCAAAAATCCCTGCATGGAAGTAGGAAGGTCTCCTCAAGCCCCATCTCGGGGCAACTGGCTGCTGCTAGAGGGACAGGAATCCATTTTCTTCTGGGATGTGTTTCTGGAAAGGTTACACACACTTCAGTAGATGGTCCTATACTCATAAACTAAGTGGACTTGTGCTTTGAAAAACAAAGCACATGAAATTATAAGGAAGAAGTAGTGGGTGGATGGTGATGGAAATTAAAAGGGATAGATTTGATCAAAACACAGCATATGTGTATATAAAATTATCAAACAATAAGATGAATAAAAAGTGGAACTACTATACGCAAATGTCAATGATTAAAACATTTAAAAATAGTAGCATGATGAACAAAATCATGAGTAGCTATAATATAAATCTTCAGATACACACCCAATATAAAGTCAACTGTGTTGTTACAAGAAGGTAAAATTCTCACTATGAAAATGACAGTGCTTGAATGGAGTGAGAAACTAAGTAACTATTCAAACTTAAAAGAAAATATAATGAAAGCAATTTAAATAACTGTTTATTTGCAGGCAAATTCTAGTCTAAAAAGCAGAATGTGTAATGATTAGAAAATACTTTTAAAATTTACACAAGCATGTTAAATTTTTCTAACATTTCTTCATAAAAATGAATTTGTTCTTCTATTCATTAAGACAAATGTTTGTTTGAAGAATGTATATGTGCCATTCTCTCTAGATTCAATGTTGGATGCTCTGACAGGAAATTTATTCTCATATCATTTCTGTTCCAGACACAAAGGTTATTGAATGGAGAGGGCATTTGTGCTGCAAATGGTAGTGCCAATCAAGCTTGTTGTAGGTCAGGTGACACCATGTGTCTCTGGTCCTAGTTTCTTGATATCCTTCCCAACATTCTTTGTTTGTTTGTTTGTTTGTTTACTGGGGACTGAACCTGGGCATTTTCTATGTATGACGAGTACCCCACCCCTGAATCATATTCATTCCACCTTTTTTGTTACTGAAGATGTTGAGACATGCTATTTTCATGTTGCTCAGGCTGGGTGTGAACTTGTAATCCTTTTGCATCAGATTCCCAAGAAGCTGAGATTCTTGGCTATACCCACAGGACTGCATTCATTCTCTCTCTCTCCCCCCACCCGTGTGTGTGTGTGTGTGTGTGTGATATAAATGGCAAAGTTTTCTTTCTTTTACTTTTTTCTTTTATTCTTCCCTTTCTCCTTTCATTCCCGAGAGCATCCATGTCATAGGTATGAGGTATTATGCCTTCAATCTGTCATTAACTTCCCTAATGATTGACATTATCAGTTACTTACAATACTTCCCCAGGAGAAGTATCTATTAGAGTACTTTGCCTGGTTTTTACTTGAATTTTGTTGCTGAGTGTAATGATTTATGTTAATTGTCAACTTGACAACTTGATAGATTCTACTAAACTTGGGAGATGGGCCTCTTAGCATTATTGTGGGTGATTATCCTGATTACATAGATAAGATAGATAAGATGGGAACAGTCAGCTACTGTGGGTAGTACCCATAGTGTAATACCAATGGATGCTCAGTGTCATGCACTCATCACTTTCTGAGATTATGGATGCTTCATGCTTCTGTCATCTTGATTTCCCTACAATAATGGTCTGTATCTTTGGACTGTGAGCCAATATAAACAAATATACTCTTTTGACCTTAAGTTTCTCTTGTCAAGTAATCTTATTACAGCAGCAAAAGTAAGACAGAAATTTGCATCAGGAGTGAGGTTAATCTATAAAAAGCTCAAACATGTGGTTCTTAGGACTTTTGAAATGATTTGCAGGAAGAATGTGCAAGAGTTTGGAAGTTTGGGACAGGAAAACCTTTGAATGCTATAAACAGGCCCTAATGGGTCATTCCTGTGGAAGCTTTGAAGAAAAAAAAAGCAGAGGTGAACTGAGGACAATGGAGAATTTGCTTAAGAATTTTAAGAGGAAAGACTGTCTGGAACAGGGATGTGGCAATTCATATGATATTTTGGCCAAGAACCTATTTTCATTATTCTTGACTCCTGAGAACTTGACTTTGAATTTAAATGTAGTGAATTAATTTGTTTGGCAGAGAAAATTTTCAGATAGGCAAGCAGCCAAGTTTGTTTGAAGGAAAAAAAGAACCCTTAAGAGAAGGGGTTCCTTGCTCTTTGATGGCAAGTGCCTATGGATGTGCTTCTCTAGAGTCAGCCCAACTGTGGTCCAAAGACACCAGACTACTTCTCAGAATATAACTTGATGGTATAAGCTTGCAGGCATGCATCATAAAATCATGAGGGGCCATGCATTTCTGTTCCACAGTTTTCGAGAGCATGTTGCATGGTCAGAATCCTGCAATGAGGTCCCAAGAGGCCACTGTATGAAGCTATGAAGATGAAATCCAAGTTGCAATGGGGAACCCAGGATATTAAAGATGAAAGGGCTATGGGATGTCTGTTGAGGAAAGCTGCAGTCATGAACTGAAGCCAGTCTAACCAAGAGGCAGTGTGTGCTGTAGACACCACACACCTATCTATTGATATAGAATCATGGACCACCTGCTGTGCTTGCTACATTGGCTGCTTGTTGGAAGAGCTCAGAGCTCAAATATACTGGTAAATGCTGTGGAACAATCTTTGTACACTGTAAATATGCAATTCTCTCATGGTCAATAGATGGGCAGGAAGAGATTGGGTGAGACAGCTTGAGACAGGGAGCATGCCAGGAAGAGGAAGGTTGGAGTCTAGAGTCACCAGCCAGATGCAGAGGGAGCAGGAGATGAATGTGCCATGCTAATAAAGGTACTGCCATGTGGCAGAGTGTAAATAAGGAATACGGGTTAACTTAAAATGTAAGAGCTAGTTAGTAATAAGTCTGAGCTATTGGCAAAGCATTTATAAGTAATATCAAGCCTCTGAGTAGTTATTTGGAAACTGGTGATTGGGAGATGGAAACTGGTGGTTGGGAGAGAAACATCCATTTACAGGTAAACACAAAATAGAGCTGGAATACAGTATCACTTCACAGGTTTATCTTACAGTGACTTCTTTACCTTTAAGCCCATGCTTACTGGAGGCAGATGTTGAAGGAGCCAGACTATTTGGAAGGTCAACACCTTTCTTGTCTAGTGTTGTATGTTTAGGTTGCTCTGGAAACACAAGAACAACGTAACTCAAGGATATAAGAAAAAAATTAATTTTACATTTTAAAACATTAAAATAAATCTTAATCATCTTCTAAAGTATAGCTTTTTTATACCCTTCTTCAGTTATTCAAATAAAGCAACTTAACCTGCAGGAATAGATTCTGTCTGTCTTATCCTTTCCTGGAGTTGATATGTAAGACAGGCATACTGAAGAATAGGACTGAGTGTGATTGTGTACAGCACATTTATGGGTAGGATGGAGATGGAGTGTAGGAGTTTCCTGTCTGACATGGGGATTCTGATGCCAGCCTTCCCCTTATAGCAAGTTTCTGTCTCAAAAGGCGGACAGAACTAGTAACTGCAAATGTCAGAGAGATCATTACCATGAGTGATTCTACATAAGTTTTCATATATACTTTTAACTTTATATAGCACTGTCTATAGCTAAAAGAAAAATATGGTGACCTTCTCATAATGAAAAGTACACTCAGGATCTGGTATCACAATGGTTTAGCCAGAATCCATGTAAAGGAGAAAACAAACTCCACAGTATTGTGTTCTGATTTCCATAGGCACACCATAGCATGCATGCATATATATATATATATATATATATATATATATCTCCAGAAACAAGAAGAAAATTATAGTGACTGACTGGAGTCAGAGACTAAGACATACTAATGTGAATACATGTGAATGTTACTGAGAAGAGAGTATGACATTGAAAATAGGTTTAATGTCTATTTGAGTACAACCACTAAAATAAGTAGTAGCATGCAGGCTAATTAGAAGGTATCTTACAATGGGACCACATTTCCTAGTACCTTCAGAAGAAAGTGACGCAGGGTGGAGATCATATGTGATTCCAGATTAGGGTCACTGGTGCTTACAATGTTTTACATCTTTTAGAAGCTCCAGAGAAGAAGCCAAGTTAAGGACCAGACTTATCTCTGGGCAAGGTCTACAAGTGTGTGAAGGTGTCCACAGCTCACATGGAAAGCTTAAGGATCATGCAGGAGGCACTAGATAGCACAGGACTACATCTAACAATTAGAGGAAGATGCTAGATGAAGCTGATGGACCTAAATAGCTGTACCCTGAATGTAGGCATTTTGTATGCAAGGCAAGTTCTCCACCCATGCACTACTTCCATTGCACTGATCCCACTCTCTGCTTAGATGCACATTAACTGTCTAGTGCTTAAACTGCCGCACCATCACCACAGGCCTGAAAGCAGACTTTTCTAGTTCTACAACACATCCTTGAATTCTAGGGGCATCCCCTCGACTCTTGAAGTTACTTTCTGAGCTACTGTCAGCTGACCAGTATAACTTACCTTCTTAATATTTTCAATTCATTAAAACAAAACAGTGCCAAGAATCAGGAAACAGTTTTCCCAGGCGGTTCCTGCCATGACTACTAACGACACCCATTCTAGAATGGTTATGTAGACAGCCTGTACAATATCTGTGAAATTAAAATCATTCATTCCCTGAACTCAACAATCCCACTTACACTTTCTACTGCATAGATACAAACCAATAGTGTAAAAAACTGTGCACTGACAGTTTTTATGTTTTTGATTGTATTTGCAACAATAGAAATATAGAGATGACATAAAAAGGAACCACTGAGAAAGTATGACATACTCTAATTTAAGAGTATCATGCAGAATATTAAAGATTTGAGATTTAAAAGAAATTGACCAATTTCACTGGGCTGGAGATAAGATTCTACATACAGGATCTATGACTGTATAGAACTACTAAGCCCTCCACACATGTATCTACTTATAGGAAACATGCTGGTATCATAACATTGACTGTTGGAAGGCCCCACACTGAAAAACACTGGTAAATACAACAATGGGGGTGGAGGACTTCTATATCCCACATCTGTATGGCAGGGACTCCCCTACCTTTGAGCACATTCTTCTTTGTAGCAGAAGTTGAAATGCGAAGACTACTAAGATGTTGAGCAACTTTATAGTCTAAGGTTATAGGCTTAGACAGATCTGAGAAAAAATGGGATCACAATCATTAAACAATCCTGGAAATAAGTAAATTTCTAGAGTGACCCTCCCTTTCCATTGTCTAGGGAAAGCAGGTTAATCAACAAGAGGGGGCAGCATCTGAAGTAGCTTTGCTGGGCATTTGCTATTTTATGAAAGAGCATTAAAGTTATTCAGGAATGAAAGAGAAGAGTGTTAGCCCTGGCATTTGGGTGGGCAAGACAGGGCGATGATTGTTTTCCTGCCTGTCTAGCTATACATCAATGTTGATGCCAACTTTGCAATGCATACCTTTCTCAAAATAAGTAGAAATGTTATATGCAAATGCCAGAAAAGGAATTTAAAAAAGAAAAGGACAAGAAAGAAAACAAAGAGTGACTACAATATAAATTTTCAGATAAAGTTTAATCTCTATGTAAAATGTTTTAAAAAATTTATTATTTGAGGCATATGGGAGTTATGCCTGCATTTTTGTCTGTGTAGCACATGCATGCCTGGTGCTCACAGAAGCCAGAAGATTGCCTGGATTGGCTTCCTTGAGACTGCCGTTACAGACAGTTTGGAACTGTTGGGTTCTGGGAATTCAACCAAGGTCCTCTGCAAGAGCAACAAATGCTCTTAATTGCTGAGCCATCTCCCCAGACCCCTAGAGCTGTGCTTTTAAATAGAAATTGACATTCCTACACTGGAAGAAGAAGTACAAGCATGAAGGGAGAGTGTTGTGGGATCCCTGCCCAGGTCCCGTCACCGCTTTTAGCCCTGAAATAACACACAAGAGACTATATTAATAATGAAGCTGTTGGCCGTTTGCTTGGTTTCTTATCAGCTAGCTCTGACTTGATTATTGACCCACAATTCCTAATATATATTTTTTAAGAACTTATCTTTTTGAGGATGCACTCCTAAGCACCCATTGCTCCCGGGAGATCACATGGAGACTCTCTCTTCACTACATTTCCCAGAATCCTCCTAGACTCCTAGTCCTACCTATCTTGCTTCCCTATTGGCCAACAGTGCTTTATTTACACCAATCAAACATATACACAGAAGGACTTTCCCCATCAGGAGAGCATAAGAAATATTTCTGTGTATGTACCTGGAATACTACCAAAAGGCAAGTATGATTAAAAAGTACAGATGGTGGGGCTCAGGGGTAAGAGTTCTTGCTGCTCTTCCAGAGGACCCAGAATTGGTTCCCAGCACCCACATGAAGGTTCAAAACCATCAGTAATCCTAGTACCTGGGAACCTGAGCCCTATTTTGACCTCTGTGGACAGTGCACCCACATGGTGTCTTATCATACATTAAGGCAAAACGCCCATAGACATGAAATAAAATTTAAAGATATAGACTCAATATCTCTCCACTGAGACAAATGCTGAAACAAAGTAGGATATGACTCTGTCAGAGAGCTGTTCTCAAACTTGGCCACATTTACAAGAATGTTTTCAGTTTTCACATTGCATTTCTTGCATATTCAAATGCTCACACATCCAGACAAGTGCTTATGGAAACTATGTGCACCTGGGACTTTCCTCCAGCTCTGGAGGAAACCCATTTATCCTCACTTTGTTTCCATTCAGCACACAAAGGGAGAACATTCTCCTCTTTCTATAATAAGAGAGTCAAATGTAAAGGAGGGTGTGGTGGTTTGAAAGAAAATGGTCCCCCAAAGGAGCAACACTATTAGGAGATGAGGCCTTTTTGGAGGAAGTGTGTCACTGTGGGGGCAGGCTTTGAGCACTGTTTTGCTCAAGCTTCCCTCAGTGTGACACTGAGACCACTTCCCATTGCCTGCAAATATAGTACTCTCAACTACTTCTCTAAAACCATGTTTTCCTATATGCTGATAATGATGATAATGGATGGATTTGAATTGTAATTGGTTAAATTGTAAGTGAGACACCCCAATTAAATGTTTTCCTTTATAAGAGTTGCTATGATCATGTCTCTTCACAGCAATAGAAAACCCTAACTGAGGGTCACTGAGTGACTCTGACACAGGGTCACTGAGGTTGATAGGCCACCTGTGCTGCAGATGGCAGGGCTGTCAGGGAGGCTGATTATGACTGCTGCAGCTTAGGTGACACCATATGTATCTGGTCCTAATTTCTTTTTCTTTCTGAAAACTTTAAAATCACAGTAGGTTTATTTGCGAATGTGCAGACAAATGACAACTGGAACAGGTAGGATCTTTGTTTCTAGCATATGTTGTGGAGATGGAATTCATGCGTTGGGTTTAGTGCTAAGAGCCTTTACCCACTGAACCAATCTGACACCTCCACCTCCTGTTTATAGTTTCTTGACATCCTTACCAAAATTGATTCTCCTTTTCTGTTTGTTTCAAGTACAGAGAACTGAAGCTGCATATTTCGATTGCAGGGCAAATACTCTACTCCTGAAGTACATTAATCCCACCTCTTGCTTCTGACAACTTTGAGACATAGTCTCACCATGCTACTCAGGCTATATGTGAATGTGTCATTCTCTTGCATCAACCTCCCAAGGAACTGGGATTACAGGATGCACCCGCAGGACTGTTCCTTCTCACACACTTTTAAGTGTCAATCATGTTCTTTCTTTAACTTTCTGCTTCCTTTTCTCCTTTTCTCTCTAATAACCACTTGATGGACATGTTACCTCATTGTGGTTGGAGTTGATGTTTTCCATGAATATTCTTCCTCCTAGTCCCACAGTAGATACAAAAATATGAAAAAAATATTCAACCTCCTCTTATATACGTTAATAGTCACTGGGTCCTCCAAGTAGGTGGGGCCTCATTGACAAGTCCTCCATTCTTGATGGATGATTGAAAAGACCAATTCTGGCTAGTGTCTATAGCTGCTATGTGTTCATGATTACAGCAGCAATGTTGCCATGCCGTCTCTTCTTGGAAGCAATTGATGGCAATGACTCCCATCTTGTTGCTCTTAAATTGTTTGGGACATCTCTTAAGTAATGTTTCCTGGTTCATTTGGGTATGATGATATAAATGTCCCATTCAAGTGGTTGGCCAGATAAATCTGTGAGCCCCACCCCCAAAGAACATAGGTTGTGGCCATAGCTCTTTGTTACACACCAGATGATACTTGATTGGTTAGTATACTACACAGTTTATCTAGGACCCAGAGATATCAAGACTACCTTGGGACTACATTGGGATGTTGCTCCCTATTTGCCATGTTCACAGTGCTGGAAAGTGCTATGCATGCTACTGGGGGAGAAAACTCATTAATGGTCTCAACCAGCGGTGTCACATGTAACCCATAATACTAACTATGCAACAATACTAACTAACCACTGGTACAATAGCAGTATGATTATTTTGTGATTGCATTTGAGGACAAGAGGAAATACACCCCTGGTAGTATACACATGGTCAAAGCCTATTCCTAGTAAGGACATGGACCTAACGGGGTTTAGAGTACTGTTGTTTCATTGAACGAATATGTTAAAATTTTTAATTTTGATGAAGCTGAATTTGTCTGTAGGTTTCCTTTCTGTCTGTGTTTTATGCCAACTATGAAATACATACCTATATGCAATTATGAAGTGTGATTCTTTCTAAGTTGTTTCCAACTAATTTACCTACAACATTGTTTCAGGATTTTCCCTTGTTCTTTTTATATGCATAAGTGGGAATGGGGTTACTTGCATATAGAATGCTTTGTATACATTTTTGTGAGGTATTTCTGCTTGTGATGGTCTGAGGTATTTGTGGAGAATCTTCTTCTGTCACCCCTTCTTCCTATTAAATGGGGCAGTGTCGATTTGCCCAACTCAGAACCAGTCTATGCCACTAATTTTAGTAGCCAGCTTGCTCTGAGGATCCTGTCTCTGCCTTGCAACCTAGAATTACAGATGCATGTGCACCCTGCATTCTATATGGGTTTTGGGGATCTGAATTCTAACCCTTTTTCTTTCATTGCAAACCCTTTTACCACTGAGCCATCTCTGTAACCCCAAAAATGGAATTTTCTAGTTCTACAACATATTTTTGAGAATGTTTTCACAAAGTCTGTACGTCATTTTTTGGGCCATTGTCAACTGACTAATAAAATTTAATCTTTTAAATGTTTCAATTTCTAAAAACTCTAGTGCTAAGAACCAGTTACTGCCACAGCTAAACATTACAATCATTCTAGAACAGATACATAGATATTTTATACAGTAGCTATTGAATTAACAGTAGACATTTATTGAATTTAACCCACGCATTCACACATTCTACTATATAGACCCAAAGTGACAGAAGAAAAATGATGTTTACTGCACCACTGACTGTAGTCATAAGCATAGAAATATAAAGGTGACTTAAAAAGGAATGCCTGAAGAAGTCTTAAACATGCTCATTTCAGAACCTCATGCAGAATATTAAGAGTGTGGGAGATGAAGGAAACCCACCAATTTATCTGGGTTAGACGTAAGGGGTAATATATGTATGGAATTATATTATTGCACAGAACACCAAAACCCTCCACACAAGTGTCTATTTACAGATAAAATTCTGGAACACACCTTGTTTTCATAATATTACCTGTATGTTGGAAGGGCCCAGAGATTGAGATTATTGGAAAATAGAAACAGTGAGGAAAGAACAAATTTCTGTTCACACATTTGTATGCCAGCAAATTCTTTACCTTTGGGCACATGTTTCTTTGAGCCAGAGACTGACTTGTGCAGAATACTTGTTCCTTTAACAATATGATTGTCTAAATTACTGGTTCTAGGTGGCTCTGAAAAGTGAGAACAATGCCATTCATTATACCGCAAGTAGTCATTCTCAGCTATTCAAGTACAAAATTAACAGTCACAAATAGCTCTTGTCAAGCCCTGTGTTTTAGTTTGCTTTCTATTACTGTGGTAAAAACCATGATTAAAGCTAGTTGTGGAAGAAAGGATTTGTTTGCCTACACATCCTGATTACAGCATATCATAGATAGAAACCAAGGCTCACGCCAAGATAGCTTTGACCTCCCTCTGTTGTCAAAGCTGGTCATGAACTTGTGACTTTCCTGCATGAGTTACCAGGTAGCTAAGAGTATATAGAGGTAACTTCAGGTCTAACTATCTTTCCTTCCACATTTTTCCATTTCGCCACCCTTCCTGGCATTGCCATCCAATGGGTATGAAGTGTTCTTCTCATTGTTCTTTTGGGTAGAATTTCCCAATGAGATCACCTGTCTTTTTTATTTTCTGATCATTTAATTTTTATTTTAAATTAGAAGGTTGTTTCACATGTCAGTTCCAGGTCCCTCTCCCTTTCCCTCCCTTCCTCTCACGCCCTCCCATCAATGACCCCATACCTCCTACTTTCCCCAGGGCAGGGCCTAGACCCTCCCCCAAGAGTCCAGGGTGAGAATGCATCTCTCATTATTGGATGGGTCCATTTGTATACCTGGGATAAATACTGATCTACTACCCAAGGCTCAATAGATTACCTAGGCCTCCTCACTGACACCCACATTCATGGGGTCTTGATCAGTCCCATGCTGGATTCCCAGGCATCAGTCTGGGATTCAAGAGCTAACTCTTGTCAGGTCAGCTGTTTCTGGGGGTTAAACCAGCCCAGTCTTAGACCCTTTGCTCATCAGTCCTCCCTCTCTGTCACTGGATTTCTGGAGTTCAGCTCAGTGTTTAGCTGTGGGAGTCTGCCTCTGTTTCCATCAGCCATTGAATGAAGGTTCTGTTTCCCAGACTCTCTGGCCATGGGATTGTAGGCTGGCACTCCCCATATCTATGTCTAAAATCCATATATGAGAGAGTACATGCCATGTTTCTCTTTTTGTGACTGGGCTACCTTGCTCAGGATGGTTTCTTCTAGTGCCATCCATTTGCCTGCAAATTTCAGGATTCCATTATTTTTTTCTGCTAAATAGTACTCCATTGTGTAAATGTACCACATTTTCTCTATCCACTCTTCAGTTGAGGGGCATCTAGGTTGCTTCCAAGTTCTGGCTAATACAAATAATGCTGTTATGAACATAGTGGAACAGACATCCTTGTTGAATGAATGGGCATCTTTTGGGTATATGCCTAAGAGTGGAGTTGCTGGGTCTTGTGGTATGCTTATTCCCATTTTTCCGAGGAATCTCCATACTGATTTCCAAAGTGGCTGTATGACTTGGCACTCCCACCAGCAGTGAAGGAGTGTTCCCCCTTCTCCACATCCTCTCCAGCATAAACTGTCATTGGTGTTTTTGATTTTAGCCAATCTGAAAGGAGTAAGATGGTATCTCAGAGTTGTTTTGATTTGCATTTCCCTGATGGCTAGGGATGTTGAGCACTTTCTCAAGTGCCTCTCAGCCATTTTAGACTCCCCTATTGAGAATTCTCTATTTAGGTCTGTAGCCCACTTTTTAATTGGATCCTTTGGTGTTTTGGAGACTTGCTTCTTGAATATAGTTTCTGCCCCTTTGAGGTGGTTTTCTTCACCTTCTTCTATATCTTTTATTCTCAGGTTTGCTCTTTTCATGTTGTCCCATATTTCCTGGATGTTTTCTGTTAGGGATTTGATGGACTTAAATTTTCCTTGGTTGATGAATCAATTTCTCCTAGTGTATCTTCAACACCTGAAATTCTCTCTTCCATCTCTTGTATTCTGTTGGTTATGCTTGCATTTGTAGTACCTGACCATTTTCCCAGCTTTTCTATTTCTAGCCTTCCTTTAGATTGTGTTTTTTTATTGTCTCTATTTCGGTTTTCAACCCTTGCACTGTTTAAATTGTTTCTTGCAATTTTTGCTTTGTCTTTTTGTCCATTTGTTGCATTTTTGGTTTGTGTTTTCTTCCATTTCTTCCATTTTTTTTGCATTTTTTGGTTTGTTTTGCCTTCCATTTCTTTGAGGGATTTTCCCATATTCTCCTTGAGGGCATCTATCATTTTCATGAAGTTGTTTTAAAGGTCATTCTCTTCTGCTTCATTTGCATTGGAATGTTGGAGTCTTGCTGGTGTGGAGTTTCTAGAATTTGGTGGTGTCTTATTTGTTTTTCTGTTGCTGGGTGTGTTTTTGTATTGTCTCCTTCGTATCCCTTTTTCTAGTGGTTTCAGAAAGAGCCTCTTACTGGCCTTGTGGTTAGGGACCAGAGTTCGGTGAGTGCAAGCAAGTCCAATATCTGGTAGTTCTCCTCTTCCTGGTTTTAGTCCTGGTCCTGTGGGTGGAGAAGAAGACCAGGAATCTAGGGTTGTGTAGGCTCCCACTGGGAGGGAAGGCTCACTGGCAGTCCCCAGGCACTGGTCCCGTGGTTAGATAAGACCAAGGAAACTGAGGTGGCTAGATTCCTGCCAATTGGGGAGTCTCTGTGGCAGTCCCCAGGCACTGGAAGGCAGGCCCAGATACAGGGCCCAGTTTACCTGGTCCTGTTGGTATCTGTAATACCTTCTCAGGAGGACTGTCTGTTGGAGTACTTCATACTTTTTTTTTTTTTTTTTTTTGGCTTTTCAAGACAGGGTTTCTCTGTATTATTTTGGAGGCTGTCCTGGAACACTAACTCTGTAGACCAATCTGGCCTCGAACTCACAGAGATCCACCTGCCTCTGCTTCCTGAGTGCTGGGATTAAAGGCGTGCACCATCACGCCCTGCTTTCATACTGTTTTTTATGAGTTTTGTTGTGGTTGAGTTTCAGTCCTTTGTTAACATATCCCTATAAAGAGAAAGTCGTCCCGCCAGCCTGGTTCCAGAGCTGCATCAGTCCCAAATAAACACACAGGAGGCTATATTAATTATGAAGCTGTTGGCCTTGCTTGTTTCTTACTGGCTAGCTCTGACTTAAGTATTTATCCCATAATTGCTAATCTAAGTATTTCTCTTACTGGAAAGGTTTCCGGGCTTCTTATCTCTATGGCAGTTACATCTTGACTTCCTGTGTTTCTCCTACCCAGAGTCCTCCTGGACTCCTAGTCCCACCTATCTTGCTTCCCTATTGGCCAAAAGTGCTTTATTGACATATACACAGGACTTCCCCCATTATATCCCTGTGATGGTTACTCTTTGCTGTCAACTTGTTTACATGTAGGATTAACTAAAATGAAATAATGAAGGCCACACCAGTAAGGGATTTTTGCATAATTTGAATTAGGAAGGTCTACTTCAATCAGGCTCTTGAGGTGGGAAGGCATACCTTTGATCTGGGCTACACCTTCTGCTGGAAGCCTATATAAGGACATGGAAGAAGGAAGCTTTTGATCTTTGCATACTTGCCCTCATCTTGCTAGCAAGAATATTCCTTCACTAGTATTAGAGGTTGCATCTTTGGGATTCCAGTGTACATTGAAAACTAGTAGAGACATTCAGCCTTGTGGATTGAGCAACTACTGGATTCTTCAATTAGTTGTACAAGCAGCCTATAAATCATTGTAATAAATCTCTTTTATATATAAATATAAAATTTATAAATACATATATACTATACATATTTATGATACACATATGTATACATACATATATGTATGTATGTATGTATGTATCTATCTCCTGACTAATATAATCCCTTTTGTAGACAGCACTTTTACTTCACTGAGATTATTTCATTTTATTTACCACTTTTAATTCACATATAGTAATTGCAAGATTATATTTTCCTTGATGTTTATAAGTTTTTAATTCTGATGAACTCTAACTTGCCTATATTTTTTGTTGTTGACTGTGTCTTCAATGCCGATTCAAAAATACATTTCCAAAATAAGCGTCATGTAGGTTTTTAAAATATGATTAACGTTTTTAAAACATTAATTTAAATTTTGCTATATGTGCCTGTGTGTGGGATATGAACCCACAACATCTTATCTGCTGAGCCATTCCTGCAGTTCTGTCATGAAGGTTTTCATCTATATTTTCTTCCAGTGTTTTTGCATGTTTGCTTTTCCTTGTAAAGTCTGTCTTCATGCTGACTTATGTTTTTGAATACACTTTAACATGGATTCTTTTCATGTTTCTGCTTGGGGATATCCAGATTTCTCTGCACTGTATGTAACAGACCCTTCTCCCTTATTATGTGGTCTTGAAAGATCGTCAACCATGTAGGTTAGAGTGAATTTCTTGGATCTCTCCTACATGGCCTCTGTGTCACCTTTGTGTGTCTCAGAACCACAGCACTGTCACTGCTGTAGCTTGGCAGTGATTTTTCAAGTAACAAAGTCTTTGTTTTGTTCTCTCTCTCTCTCTCTCTCTCTCTCTCTCTCTTTGGTTTTTCGAGGCAGGGTTTCTCTGTGGCTTTGGAGGCTGTCCTGGAACTTGCTCTTGTAGACCAGGCTGGTCTTGAACTCACAGAGATCCACCTGCCTCTGCCTCCGGAGTGCTAGGATTAAAGGCGTGTGCTACCACCACCCAGCTTATTTTGTTCTTTACATTATTTAGACTATTATGGTCTCTGGAAATTCATGTGAATTTTTAAATGGACTACTTCGTATTTCTGCAAAATACCTTTGAAGTTCTAGGGATTTTCTTAGACCTTTTGATTCCTCAGTGTAGTACTGACTATCAACAATGTAAATCCACATTCACGTTTCAGATTTATAAGGTCTATTTTTGGAGAAGATCCTTAGAAACAGGTTTTCACTTATTTACTGGCAGAACCTTTACCTGTAATTTTCAAAAAAATTGCCAACCTCTTCAAATTAAAAGCATCTATGTCCCTTAGCCAACTGTCTTATAGAAACATAAGCAAATAAGAAAATTAAGAATACTGACACCGCAGCTCTGATGACATAAACACTAAAGACTTAAAGGGCATTGTAAGAAGCAATATTAACTAAGATACAGAAATTCTACTTTGAGAGCATCAAGCAGAGAGGAGAAGGTGCGAGGGATGAAGGATGCAAATGTATGTATGTATGCCATCATGGGACATGTGTTATGCTCACAATATTAGCTGATTAGTTGAGTGGCTCACAGGTTATCGGATAGGGAGAAACTGTGGGACTGCAGTCATTCTTTTACCTTGGAGCACACGCCTCTTCTTAGCATTGGTTGAGTTGTGCAGAGTAGGTGTACTTTTATCCTTGTCTAACGTTTTAGTCTTAGATGGCTCTGAAAAACGAGAACAAGGCCTTTCAATAACACAGTCTCTGAAGTGAAGCCTCTCTTTCAGCTAATCAGCATGACACTTAAGAACTATGAATAGATTCTGTCTGAAGCAGCCTTGGCTGTTATCTGGTATCTTATAAAAAACTCATTACAATAAAATAAGTCAGGTAAAGAAAGAAAACTGGGAGCTATAGCATGTCTGTAGTTCCAACACTTGAGAGGCTGAGGCAGGGAGATGGGTTTCTGTCTGACAGGTGGCCTGTGTATTGAGTGTGATACCAGCCTTGATATCCACAGCACCCAACATAAATGCTATCTACAAATGACATAGAATGGACTTTAACAAAACTGTTAAATGTGTGTAGTATTTTCTGGCACAGTTTAACGTCTTTATAACCCTTCCTTTGTTTTCAACAGAAGCTAACATTTCTATAATGGAAATAAAGTTCAATAATGAAGGGAAACAATAAGAAACACTACTGTGTATGTATGTGGAATAATATTAAAAATGTATGATAAAAATGTAACTTGCCTTCATTCAGCAACAAATGCTGAACTAAAATAGTTGATTATGGGTCAGTTATGGAGTTGCTTCTCAAAATTAGTCTCCTGGCTAGTTTTATGTCAAGTTGACACAAGCTACAAAGAAGGAGCCTCAATTGAGAAAATGCCCTTGTAAGAACAAGCTGTAAGACCTTTTCTTAATTAGTGATCAATGGGGGAGGGCCCAGCCTGTTGTGTGTGGGGCCACCCCTAGGCTGGAGTTCCTGGGTTCTAGCAGGAAGGAGGTTATGTAAGCCAAGAAGAACAAACCAGTAAGCAGCACCCTTCCACGGCCTCTCATTTAGCTCCTGCCTTCTGGTTGCTGTCCTGTTTGAGTTCCTGTCCTGACTTCCTTCAGTGATGAACAGTGATATGGAAGTATAGGTCAAATAAACCCTTTCCTCCCCAAGTTGCTTTAGTCATGGTTTTTCATCACAACAACAGAAGCCTTAACTAAGACAGTTATGCAGACAAACTTACATGTTTTCAATTTTTACTTGTATTTCTTTATTATTATTTGGTTTTTTTTGAGACAGAGTTTCTCTGTGTGGCAGTCCTGGCTGTCCTGGAACCCGCTTCATAGACCAAGCTGGCCTCAAACTCACTGAGATCTATCTGGCACTGACTCCCAAGTATGGGGATTAAAGGCGTGCACCACCACCACCATCTGGCTAATCTCTACTTGTTTTTCTTACACAAGAATGAAATGTTCATACTTTCATTCACCAAGGCAAGTACTTATGAACCATGTGCACTTGGGGGTTCTCCCTCAGAACAAAAGTGGGATGCTCTGGTGGAAGATTATGTATGCTCATGTTTCCACTCAGCACACAAAAGGAGGCCATTACCCTTTGTATCTGGTGGCACGGTCAACATGTAGACAGGTTACTGGGACAGAGGGCACCTGTGTGGCAAATGGCAGAGCTGCCAACGGAAAGTTGCTGAAGCCCACTGGAGCTCATGTTACCATGGTTCCCATTTCTTTCCTCTCCTATTTTTTTTGAAAAAATACATTTTCTTTATTTGACTATGTGTGTGCGTGCACCGTGCATGAATGTGTACATGTGTGTGAGTGTGCACACAGTGCATTCAAATTTTGCATGCCATTCTTGTGAAGGTCAGAGGACAGTTGGCAGTAGTCAGTTCTCTGTTTCCACCATGTGAGTCTGGGGATCAATCTGCTTCAGGCTTGGCTCCAACACCCTCTGAGTCATTTCATCGGTTACAAGCTTTTGCTAACATTTGGTTTCCTTTCCCTCCTTTTCTGTTTGTTTCAAGTATCGTGAACTATAAAATGTATTGCTAAATCTGTGACACTGTAGGTTTCTATTCTATTGTCTTCTAATAATTTTTGAAGTTTAACTTTCATTTGTGAGGATTTTGATTTGTGCTGAAGTATTTTTGTGCATACTTTAAGCTAAGGGCTTGGGAAACCTTCTGTTTGGGGAAATTCCGTTTTCCCTGCACCATATGTGCTAGACTGACTTTTCTCCCTGAGTGGGCTGGGTGCCCTTAGCCTGGTAGATGGGGCTTCACTTATGGGTTCTGGTCTACGCTACCTTTCTGTTGTGAGAAACAGGACACATTCCTTACTATAGCTGTGTCCTAAGTTATGAAATTATGAAGCATGATTCCTTCTTGGTTGTTCACAATTAACTTTATTATGGCTTTGTTTCAAGATTCCATATGGCTGAGACTGATTTTTCTCTTTCTACATGCATATGTGTAGGTGGGATTATTGCATGTAAGCATGCTCACATATGCCTTTGTGCCGGTTTTTATGCATATATGAACTTGTGCTTGTGGTGGTCTGAGATGTTTATAGAGAATCTTCTTCCTTCAGTTCTTCCTCTTATTCAATGAGGCAGTGTCTGTTGATTCATTTCAGAGTCAGTCTATGTGGCTAATCTCAGTAGTCAGCTTGCTATGGGGATCCTGTCTCTGCCCTGAAACCTAGAATTATAGATGGGCTGCCATGTGCACCCTGCATTCTACATGGGTTTTGGGTATCTGAATTCTGGCCTTCTTTCTTGCATTGCAAACCCTTTAACCATTGAACCACATTTGCGGTCCCCAACATGTAACTTTCTAGTTCTACAACCTATCTTTGGGATTCCAAGGATTTTTCTCAGAATCTGTACGTCATTTTCTGTGCTACCGTCAATGGACTATATATAATGTAATCTTTTAACATTTTAAATCCCTATAAAATCTAGAGCTAAGGACTAGGGAACAGTTTCCACATGCAATTACTGCCACAATGATTAACTACAATCATTCTAGAATGGATATGGAGATATTCCACACAGTAGCTCCTGAATTAAAAACATACAGGTCCTGAATCTGGCTACCCCATTCACACATTCTATTGTACAGTTACAAAGAGGTAGAAAAATGTGTGCTGATACTGATCTCATCCATTGATTGTAGTCATAACCATAGAAATGCAAAGGCAATATAGAAAGGAACTACTGAGAAAGTGTCAAGTAGTCGCTTCAGAACATCATGCAGATTATTAAGTAAGGGTGTGAGGGATGAAGAAGACCTGGGTTAGAAATAAGGGGGACCAACACATAGGATCTTATTACTATGCTAAACCACAGAGCCTCCACAGATGTGTCTTTTTACATGAGAAAAATGGAACACATTGTATACTTATAATATGGGCTGGGCGTGGAGGGCCTGCATGTTGAAGATACTGGAAAAGAGAAATAGTGGAAAAGGCAGAATTCTGTTTCACACATCTGTTCGTCAGTGACTCTGTTACCTTGGTGCACACGCTTCTTCAAAGAAGATGTTGATTTGTGCAGAATTCCTGATCCTTCAACTTCTTTATTCTCTAAGTTACTCATTTTAGATGACTCTGAAAAGTGAGAACAATACCACTCATTGATGCTGCAAACAAACCACCTGTGAAGTCCACCGATCTCCCAGCACTCAGGTAGACAGCTAACAAGCACAAATGGACTCTTTTAATAAGCCTTGCCTTGTGTCTGATATTGTATTAAAGAACATTATCAGACCATAAGTCACGCAACAAAGAACAGTAATGAGAGAGGTGTCGCACTCCTGGATTTCCAGCGTTAGGGAAACTGGGGAAGGGAGATGGTTATCTGCTTGCCAGTTTGCTAACACACTACTGAATGTGACTCCAGTCTTGCTATATTCTTCACCTTGTCTCAAATAACAGGTCATATACAAATGACAGAGAAAGAAAATTTAAAAGATGCCAGCATGACAACATATACATCTACAAGTGACTAAAATAACAATCTGCAGGTACAGTTTAATCTCTCCATAAACCTTTCTTTGCTTTTAAGTAGTTGACACTTCTACAGTGAAAATAAAGTATAAAAAGGAATGGAGATGATAGAGAAGACTAAATGGTAGAGTGTATGTATTTGGAATACTGTTAAAAAGAAGTATAATAAAATACAGATTCAATGTCTTTACTTAGGGATGAATCCTGAAATAAATTATAGAATGTGGGTCTGTTAGAGAGTCACATCTCAAAGTTACATGGCCAAATTTACATGCCTAAGTAAATGTATTTTCTTCATAAGAATACAATGTTTACAATTCCATTCACCAAGGCAGGTGCTTGTTAGAACAATGTGCCTCTGCTCTCCCTCAGCAACAAATTGGATGCTCTGGTAGAAAACCTCTTGTCATTTCCATTCAGCACACAAAAGGAGTTCATTATCCTTTCTCTCTAACTAGAGAGTTAAGAGCTAGATGGGGTTATTGAGACAGAGGCCACATATGCTGCAGATGGCAGGGCTGGCATGGAGGCTGCTCAACCCAGCTAGAGCTCAGATGACACCCTGTCCCCTTTACTGTCCCCTTCATACAAGCTGTCTGTGTTAGAGGAAAGCTGGCAGAATGCACTTCTCTGTTTCTACAGTGTGGGGCCTGTCAGGTGTGGCAACAAGTGGCTTTACCCACTGAGTATGTCAACTCCTGCCAACCTCAGATACTCTGTCATAATTTCTTGGCAACCTTGTTCATATTTGGTCTACTTTTCTATTTTTTTCAAGTCCTTGGGACGGAACCTGAATATTCTGTTAGCAAGGTAGGTACTCCCCTTCTGAGCTACATCCCATCATCTTGTTTCTGACAACCCTGAGACATAGTCTCACCATGCTGCCTGGGTGACTGGGAGTTGTCATCCTCTTTGTCCTTTGGCTGCTAATATATACTAGGCATGGAGCATTAAGTCCTTGTAGTGTGGGGTTGCCTTCTCTCATGCCTAGGTGTGTACAACATATTTTCATATTAGGTTGGCTATTGCAAAGTTTGTTAAGGAGAAAGATGTCTGTGAGAGTAGTTCTCAATTTTGCTTACATTTTAGATCTATTACTGGATCTTTAGATAGGAATCCTTACTAGATATAAGTGAAATATTTTCTCCCATTCTGGTTTTTGCTTTTTACTCTGTTGCTATTGCCCTTTTATTTTCATTATTCTTTAACTTATTATTACTATAGTCACTTTCATTTTACCCTCTGGTGTCCCCTACCTTTCTCTCTATATTTCACATTCTTCCACATTATCCCTTAGTGTCTACACCAAGAGAGAAATGTCATACTGTTTTCATAAAACTGTTAGCTGTCATTAGCTTCTCAAAATGGATGGGGCCTCATCGGGGAGTCCTCTATTCTTGAAGGACAATATGCTACCATTGTTTCTTTCAAACATGTAAACAATCTTAAGTCGAGACTAAGCCTATTTTTTGTGTATTTTTCTTTTTAAATTGTGTGTTTTATGCCATCCCCAAATACAAAGTCAAGTTTACTAGCCGTTCCCCTACATTTTTTCTAATAGTTTTACAGTTTAGCTTTCATTTCTTTTTTAAAATTTATTTTTAAGTTTAAATTTAGATTAGAAACATGGTTGTTTCACAAGTCAGTTCCAGGTCCCTCTCCATTTCCCTCTCCTCCTCCCGTGCCCTCCCCCAACTCCCCAATATCCCCTCATTTCCCCAGGGAGGGTGAGGCCCTCCTTGGGGGTGTCCATAGTCTGTCAGTGAGAAGGCCTAGGTAATCTATGGGGCTATGGGTAGTACTTTGAGTGCTCATGCCACAATATGGGAGGCTCTCTCAGCCAGGACTCTTGCAGGAGGACCTAGGCCCTGCTCTGGATGAAATGACAGTCACTGGAGATCCACCGTGGAGGGCCTCACCCTCCCTGGGAATCAGAGTGGAAATTGGGTGGGAGACTGGGGGACTTTGTGGGGAGGGCAGGGGAGGACGGGAGGGAGATGGGATCTGGTATTGACATGTGAAACAACATTGTTTCTAACAAAAGAAAAAAAAAAGAACCAGGAAATAGTTTTCTCAAGCAATTCCTGCCATAACTGAACTATAATCATTCTAGACTGAATATATACTCTGCTTACAGTATCTGTTGAATTAAAAGTATGGATGTTCTTAGTCAATAATTCCACTCACATGTTCTACTTTATAGATGTAAAGTAACACAATAAAGGGACTGGAGAGATGGCTCAGAATTTAAGAACACTGGCTGGTTTTCCAGCAACCACATGATGGCTCACAACTATCTGTAATGAGATCTGGTGCCCTCTACTGGCTCGTAGGGGTACATGCAGACAGAACTCCGTATACCTAATAAATAAATCTTAAAAAAAAAAGTAACACAACAGAATGTATACTGGCTTTTTGATCACACTGTTGATTGTAGTCTCCGGGTCATAAGTGTAAAGGAGATTCAAAAAGGAGCTATTCGGTATGGTACATTCATACTTTGGAACACCTTACAGAATATTAAAGGTGGGAGAGATAAAGGGACCTATCAGTTTTTTGGGTCAGATGTAGTGGGCTTTTGTGCACAGCATTCTATTACTATGCAGAACTACAAAGCCTTCCACATGGGTGTCCATTTATAGAAAAAGCACAGGAACACATAGTGTACTCATAACATTGGCTGCATGTTGAAGGAGCCCACAGGCTGAAGATGTTGGTAAGCGGAAACAGTGGGAAGAGAACAGAGGTTCATTTCATATGCCTTCATGGCAGTGACTCCTTTACCTTTCACTACATTTCCTGTAGCATTCACATTTGACTTCAGATTGTTTGCAACTTTAGCATTCGTCTTGTCTAAATTTGTGGTTTTGGATGTTTCTGGAAAAAATGAAAACAATTTCATGTAATGGTACTTAAACATTTTAATTTCTGAAGTACAGCCACCTTTTCAACTATGGAAGTACGGCAGTTTTACAAGCACCAATTAATTTTGTCTTATTTTGCCTTGTCTGGTAGCTGAGAGTATATAAAAGCGCATTCATTGTAAGGGTGTGAGTCAGGTAAAAGAAAAAATAAAGCTGGGAGAGGCTTTTTACACCAGTAGTCTGAGCATTTGGGAGGCTGAGGCTGGAAGATGGGTATCTTCCTGCCAGTCTTCCTACAGTCACAGCGACTGGCACTGCTGTATATAGTACTTCTGCATCAAGTAACAGTTGGAATGACACATACAAATGTCATAGAATGTTGAAAAATAGTAGAACAATAATGAACATCATGAATGACTTAAATAAAAATTCAGAATATTTTATTCTGGGCATAAATTTTCTTTGTTTCTTTTTTTAAATATAAAGTGACAATTTGTGAAGTTGGAGTGGGGACTATAGGCAGATATGAACAAGATAATTTGTATACTTGTGCTGATTTGAATAGGCATGGCCCCTATAGCCTCATGTATTTAAATGCTTGGCGTAGCCTTGTTGGAGTAGGTGTGGCATTGTTATAGGAAGTGTGGGGCAGGCTTTGAGGTCTTACATGCTCAAGCTACACCCAGTGTGGGACTCAGTTTCCTTCTGCTGGCTGCATGTCAAGATGTTGAACTCACAGCTCCTTCTCCAGCACCATGCCTGCCTATATGTTGCCATGCTTCCCCACCATGATAATGAACTAAACCTCTAAACTGTAAGTCAGCATCCAATTGAATGTTTTCCTTTATAAGAGTTGCTATGGTCATGTCTTTCACATGAAAAGAAGCTCTAACTAAAAATAAGTTCATATTCCAGGCTGGAGAGAAAGCTCTGTGGTTAACAGCACTTGTTACTTGTACAGAGGACCTGAGTTTGATTTCCAGCACCTACAAGGTGACTTAGAACCATCCACATCCCTAGTTTCACGGGATTGAACAAGCATACAATTGGTGCACTTACATGCATGTAGGCAAAATATTCATGTACATAAAGTAGCCAAATAAAGATTAAACAGAAGCTCACCTTTCCATTACCATTTCCCTCTAATCAGAGAGTAAATATTTAATAAGATCACTTAGACTAAGGGAACACCTGTGCTCAGGGGACATGGCGTGCCTCTACTTCTGACTTCTTAGACTCCTTGGAAATATTTTGTTGCTGTTGTTTGTTTTCTACTTTCCTTCCCTCTTCCCTTCCTTTCCCCTTTACTTTTTGTGGTATTGAGGACTGAACACAAGTCTCTCCATATGCTGGTTGACTTTTTCACAACTGAGCTACAGCAACCCTAAGCATCCTACTTACTTATGCTGAGGCAGGGTCTCATGCTCATGTTAGCCTTGAACTCTCTCTATATTGACAAAGCTGTCCTTGAACTTCCCAGGTAGCTAGCATGATAGGTATGTAATACCAGGCCTAGCTGTTTCTCTCTTCCACATCTTTTCCATCTGTCTCCCTTCCTGGCAATACCATCCAATCGGTGCGTGTGAGTAAGAGTCTCATGATACTGTTTTCACGAGTTTTCTTGTAGTTGATCTTCAGACCTCTATTAATATATGATCCCTTTCTGTGGACAGCCCTTTTATTCCATTGATTTTGTCTTATTTTATTTACCCTTTTAAACTACCCTTTACTGCTTGTACAAAATCATATCTTCTTTAATGTACCCTTTTTTTTGGAGAGGAAAGGATTCATTTGGCTTATACTTCCACATCACAGTTTGTCATTGAAGGAAGACAGGACAGGAACTCAATCTGAACAGGAACTTGGAGACAGGAGCTGGTATAGAGGCCATGGGAGAGTGATGCTTACTGGCTTGATCCTCCTGGATTGTTCAGCCTACATTTTAAAAATTTTCTTTGCCTTATTTATTCTAAAACATTGTCCAGCGTATCTATGATAACTTTCAATTTCTTCCTTTTTTAATTTAAATTAGAGACAATCTTATTTTATATATCAATTCCAGTCCCCTCTCCCTCCCATTCTTCCATGCCCCCCACTAACTCCCATTCCATCCCTCTTCTGCTCCACAGAAAGAGTGAGACCTTCTATGGGGGATCATCAAAATCTGTCACATCATTTGGGGCAGGGCCTAGGCCCTCCTCCATGTGGCTAGGCTGAGAGAGTATTCCTCTATGGGGAATGGGCTCCCAATGTCCATTCGTATACTAGGTATAAATGCTATTCCATTACCAGGGGCCCCATAGACTGCCCAGACCCCCTAACTGACACTCACATGCAGGGGGCCTGGTTCCATCCTATGCTGGTTTCCAAGCTGTCAGTCTGGGGTCCCTCAGTTCCCCCTTGTTCAGGTCAGCTGTTTCTGTCAGTTTCCCCAGCATGGTTTTGATCCCTTTGCTCATCACTCCTTCCTCGCTACAACTGGATTCCAGGAATTCAGATGTGCCCAAATTTTTAATTCTGATTAACTTCATTTGCTTATATTTACTTGTATTTTGATGACAATCCATTTTATATTGTCAAAATGAGTATCATGTAGGTTTTGGTCTATGTTTTCTTCCAATGCTTTTGTACAGAGTCACAACCTTTCACATACACACATACCTACTCACCGAACTCAATCTTATGGTGCCCACAAGATTGGCTATTTTGTTGAAGGGTCCACAAGTTAGGATACTAGCAGAAAGAAACTGAAATTGGAACAGAGCTTGCTTTCACATAAACAAAGAGTCCTCAACCAACAAAGTAATTCAAGGTATAAAAGTTCATACAGAAACAAACAAACAAACAAAAAACCCCAAAGAGCAAGATGCATCTCCTCAAAATATTACTAATCTCACAGCCCAAATTGGAGCGATTTAGAAATTTCAGAGAAAGAACCCATGAGAACACTTACAAATATGCTCAACAAATCAAAGAAGACATAAATGTTCTCCAGGAGAGCAAAAACAGCTAAACAAAGTAAGGAGGTCCTTCCATGTAGGAAATATACTTCTGTAAAGATATAGAATTGCAGCACTGGAGAGATGGCTCAGTGGTTAACAGCACTGGTTGCTCTTGCAGAGGACCCAGGTTCAGTTCCCAGCACCCACATGGTGGCTCACAATCGCTTCTGACCTCAACAGGCACGAGGCACACATGTGGCAAGCATATATACATGCAGGCAAAATATTCATAAACAAAACAACAAAAGTAAATAAAAATATTTTTAAACGATAAGGAATTTCTGAAGAAAGTCACAAACTCAAATGATGCCAGAACGAAACAATTCAATAAGCCAGATAGAAATATGAGTAGAAGGCCTAATAGTGGACATGTGGGCAATAGAATGTAATGGCTTGAAAGTTATGCAGAAGTTTATAATCTTTCAGTAAAGGTCAATAATAGCAAATTGAAAAATTTGAGATCTTTGGGATCAATGAAAAGAACTATCTGAAAACCATGGGCATAGAAGAAAGAGAAACATTCATGTCAGAGGCACAGAAAATATTTTCAGTAAAACCCTGTAAGGAAATTCCCTAAATCTTGAAAGATGTACAAGAAACATCTAGAATACCAAATAGGACCAGAAGAGAAACTCTTCTTGACATATTATCACTAAAATACGAAAAATACAGACTGAAGAGAGGGTATTCAAAACTATGAGAGAGGAGACAAGCCATGTATAAAAACAGGCCAATCATAATAACAGATTCAATAGCAACTTTCAAATGTGGAACAACTAACAAAGGTTCATTCCAAGTTCTTCAAGACCACAATTTCCAAACCTGACTATTATATATAGGTAGATTATCTAATTGAATGAGAAAAATGCTTTCCAAAGCTCAAGTAGCTAAGAGGAATCTATGACCAATAGTCAGTTCTACAGAAGATACTGGAAGAAAATAATTTGAGTTAAGAAAAAAATAAATGCACTCAAATAGCCATGGCATATGGTGGGATAAATGGTATCAGGACAGTAAATAAAAACCTAAACTCTAAAGGATTGGAGGGATGACTCAGGGTTTACAAGCACTTACTGCTCTTCTAGAGGACTCAAGTTAAGTTCTCAGCATTTATTTCAGAAAGCTCACAGCATCTGTAACCACATTCCCAGGGCATCTTAACTACCTGCCCCCCCACATTCACACAATAAAATTAAATCTTAAAGAATATCTAAGAAAATACCACAAACCAAGAAAATATGAGAAATAATGTACTTATTTCAATAATAATTCAGTATACTAATGTTCTAAATGACCAAATAAAAGACAAAAATGAGCAGCATGAATTAAGAGCACAGGCTACAGCTTTTTGCTTCCTCCAAGAAACAGACCTCACCTCAGATAGCCACCACCTCAGATTAAAGGATGGAAAATGTTATCCTAAGTATATGGGCTTAGGAAACAAGTTGGTCTAGATATTCTAAAACCAGAAAACATAGATTTCAAGGCCAAAGTACTCGGGAGGACTGGAGACACCACTTCATACTCATTAAGGGAACAACCCACCAAGAGGATTTTGCAATTCTGAACACAAATACAACAATCACATTGCACCCAAATTCCTAAAACAAATAACTACACTATGTAAAATTACAGACTAATCCCAACACAGTAATATTGGGTAACATAAATGTCAACTGGCACCATTAGTCATGTCATTTGGTGTAGGCTCTAATAAGTCACATGTTTAATGGCGGCATCAGACTTCCTCCTACAATTTGGATTATCCACCCCCCCAAGAATCAGTAGAGATATGTGACATTATAAATTTAATGGTCCTACAGACATTTAGGGGCTATTTTGCCAAAACTTTAAAGAATACACATTGTTGTAATCAGACCATGAAGGATTCCCAAAGAATTATCAACACATTAGAAAACAAAGCAATTCTCAGCAGATACAGACAAGTTGAGATAACATACTGTATTCTGTCTAACCTGATAGAATAAACCTAGGCATGGATAGCAGGAGAAACTACAGAAACTCATGGAGACTAAACAACACACTATTGAATGATGAATGAGTCACCAAACAGTCTAGAATTAACTTTCATACTGGAAGAATAGTTTTTTGATATTTTTGTTGCTACAACTATCAATAACAGTCACTCTGCAAAATATTTGTTAGTACTTAAAAAATTAAAGGCATACATGTTCTTAATCCAGCCACACACTCAATTGTATAAAGTAGGACAATAAAAGAGTACAGTGACATTGACAGCACTATTGGTTGTAGTTGCACCATAAGTGTAAGGATTACATAAAGAGGAACTATAGATTAGACATTATATTTTTTTTCATTTAGGAACATAATACCGAAAGCTCAAGTGTGAGAGATGAAGGAAACCCACCAGTTCACCTGAGTTAGAAGTAAGGGGATCTAGGCACGAACGATATCCTCTTACTGTACAGAAGGACAAAGTCCTCCACACAGGCTTGTGACATAACTTAGCTTCTTGATGGGAAAGGACTCACGGGTTTGAAAATTCTGGCAAACAGAAACAATGGGGAAGGAATAACTGAATCCCCACAGCTGTATTACAGTATCTCCTTTACCTTTACTCGTAGGTTTCTTTGCCGCAGATGTTGACTTGGGCAGATTATTGGAAAGTTTAGCATCTTCATCATCTAAATTAGAGGTCTTAGACAGCACTGAAAAAATGAGAATAACATCATTCAGTAGTGATTGGTATAATCCTTTTCTGAGCACAGATTCCTCCAGCTATTGGCAAGCACTAGTAGACTCTGTCAGATTTATCCTTGCCTGGCAGATGATATTTTATTAGCATGCAAGTCAGGGAATTGATAGAGCAGAGGGAGGTCCTGAGGGTCTGCAGTCACCTTGTGCCTCTGCTGCCTACTCCTTGACATCCTTGGTATTTTTGTTTTCTTCCTTCTCTCTTTTCCTTCTCCACTTCCCTTTCTTAACTCTTTGCTTTTTGTGGTATTGAAGACTGAACACAATTCCCTGTATATTCTGGGTGAGAGCTCTACAACTGGGCTACCTCCATCCCCCACATTCTACACACTTTTTTTCTTTTATTTTTAAATTTAAATTAGAAACAAGGTTGCTACACAAGTCAGTTCTAGGTCCCTCTCGGTTTCCCTCCCCTCTTCCCGTGCCTTCCCCCCAATCCCCCCCAATTTCCCCTCATTTCCCCAGGGAGGGTGAGGCCCTCCTTGGGGGTGTCCATAGTCTGTCATTTCATCCAGGGCAAGGCCTAGACCCTCCCCCAAGAGTTCAGGGTGAGAGTGCATCTCACATTGTTGGATGGGAGTCCAAAGTCCATGTGTATACCTGGGATAAATACTGATCTACTGCCCAAAACTCAATAGATTACCTAGGCCTCCTCACTGACACACACATTCTTTATACTGAGACTGTCTGTTGTCAAAGCTGACCTGAACTTGTGATTTTTCTGCATGAGCTACAGTGACAGACATGGGACTCCAGTCCAGTCATTTCCTCTACCACTTTCCCTTTTCATTCTGTCTTCCTTCCTGGCAATTCCATTCAAGGAGATAAATTATTTTTCTCATTATAGGTTATTTCTTTGTCCCTGTTGGTTTTTCTTAGAGTATTTCCCATTGTTTTTATGTGTCTCGTTGTGGTTTAACTTCAAACCTTCTTTATCTTTGTAAAGTAATTCTTTATAGGATGCTGACATGGAGTCATGATCTCTTTCTGTGCATAGCCTTTTGATTCCATTGGTACTGTCCCATTTTAGTTGTTTTCTTTTTTACTAACATAGACCAACTATACAAAACTGTATTTTTCTTAATGTGCACAATTTTTTAGCTAGGATTAAACCCTAATTTGCCTATATTTATATGTTTTGACTATGTCTTCAATGCTAATAAAAAATTCATCATAAGGTGAATGTCTTGTATATTTTTGCATACATTGTTTTCTAATAGTTTTTCAGGTTTGCATTAACTTGTAAGGTAATTTGTTATTACATTTTCAATTGTTTCTCTTATTTTGCAATTTTTCATTATTATTTAGACCATTATAATCTCTGATGATTCAATATGAATTTCAAAATGGACTTTTCTACTCTAGTAAGATATCACTGTAATTCTAGGGATTTTTTCATAAGTTGTAGTTAGTTTCTGTGTTAGTGTCAGCTAACCAATATAGTTCAATATTGTTAATATTTTCAATTCATAAGATCTAGTGCTGAGAACTATGCAGAAATTTTTCAGGTTTTTATTTCTACAACAACAACAGTCATCATAGAATGTGTATCTGTAGATACTAAAAGCATACATTTTTCTAAATACAACAATCTCACTCTTTAGAGACAAACTAGCATTATAAACATGTAATTAGCAGGATATGTTGACACACGCCTTTAATCCTAGTACATGGGAAGCAGAGGCAGTTCATCTTTATGGGTTCTAGTCCAGCTTGTCTATATAGCAAGTTCCAGACCTGCTGTGGCTACATAGTTAAGTCCCTGTCACAATAAAAAAGTGATGATTTTTGATTGCACAACTGATTGAAGCTGCAACCACAGAGATGTATGGTTATTTTAAAAGGAACTACTGATAAGTAATATACTCTCATTTCAGATCATTACAGAGAAAATGAAAGGTGTAAGACATGAAGGAAATTGATCAGTTTATCTCAGTTAGAGTTAAGGGTGTCTATGCATAGGGCTCTGTTTCTGATCAGCATCACAAAACCCTCCACACGTGTCTACCTGCAGGAAAAGCCTGGTGGGCTCATAATACAGACTGATTGTTGGAAGGACCCATACTGCAGGACGCTGGTAGATAGGAACAGCATGAACATAAAACAGAGTTATGTTATACATAATACATTACACATAGTACACAGTACAGTACTTCCTTTACCTTTAATGACTTTGATATTTGGAGTAGAGGCATACGTCTCCACATTATTTGGACGTTCAACACTTCTTGCAACTAACTTCACATGGTTAGGCTGTTTAGAAAGAATGTTTAAGGTTATTAACTGATACAATAAATAAACTAATTTCAATTTTTAACAGTGCAAAAATAACCCATTACACACATATTTTTAATCTAAACACATTTAAATTAAACACGATTACAATACTTCTCCCTTTCCTTTTCTATCTCCAGGCCTTCCAATGTTCTTTCCCTCTAGCTCTCCCAGGTGCCCCCACTCTTAAATTAATGACTTATTTTTCTTTAATTAGCATCACACACACACACATAGTCAACTGCGCCTGTTTTTGTTGTTGTGTGTGTATGGTTTCAGGGCTGACAATTTATATTGTGGGGGCTCATGCTTGGAAGAGGCTTATTCTCCCTCTTTCAGCAGTCACATTCCTGCAGTACTTTGATTAGGGGTGGAGCCCTGTGAGAATACTTTTTTCCCCTTCTATGTTAGCATGTTTAATGATATTGTTGTTGTCCAGGTCTTAGAAAAGTCAATCTTAGGACTCCTCTAAAGCCTCCTAAACCTTCACTAACTAACATGAAGCAGTTTAACCAGCAAACACAAATTCTCTTTGAATTTACGTTATCTGGTCATTGATAGTTTATATAAGTCTATCATATTAATGCAAGTTGGGGCTGAGGAGACAGCGCAGTAGGTGAAGGGCTTGGCATACAAGCACGTAGACCTGAGATCAGCTTTCCAGCACACATCAATAAAGTTTGGGGCTATGGCAAGTGGCTATTCCAGGACATGGCACAAGAGGCTCCCTGAGGCTTGCTGTGCAGATAATCTTACTCCGTGTTCAGTGAGATACTCTGCCTCAGAAAAGAGGTTTTATACTGAAAGTATAAAATTTAATGTAAAGCTCCAAATACCTAGTCTAACCCTGTGGAAGTTTAATGAGTTCTATAGACTGGGAGTCTGGTTAATTTGATTGGTTGATACTTCTTATCTTTTGCAAGGTTTTTTAAATAATAAGTTTTAGAAAATTAAAAAGAAAATATGTTTGAGAGTGACAGGGGAAGATATATGGACATAAGCCTTTGGCTTCCACAGGAATGCACACACACATATACACACATGCACATACACCGGAACCACTCCCCCATACTCATAAAAGATGATATATAAGCAGAAAGAATAGAGCAGGGAGAGAGGTCTTGCATGCCTGTACTCCCATCACTCAGGGACTGAGGCACAGAGATGGGCATCTGCCTGGCAGTCTGCCTGTATACTAAGTGTGACTACAGCCTTGCTATTCATAACACCTGTCTCGCAAAACAGAGATGCTATATGCAGATGTCAGAGAAAGAACTTAAAAGACACACACACACACACACACACACACACACACAGTAGGACAATAAACAAAAGCATGAATGACTGGAATGCATTTTATGATAGTTTCTGTACATGTGAAGCTTTGTTTTTTTTAATATAAGGTGACATTCTCACAAAGAAAACCACAGAGCAAGATAGATAATTCGAAACACTGTTGTGTGTGAATGTGGAAAAGTGATAAGCGGAAAGCGTAACAATAAATTAGTTTCAATATCTTTTCAATCTGGGGCAAATGCTTAAATAAAGAAGAATGTGGGTCTGTTCAGAGACTTTCCTCAAGGTTAGCTGGCCAAATTTGCAAATTAAAATATTTCTACATTGTATTTTTTTCACAAAAGTGAAACATTCCAACTTCTGTTCACCGAGGCAAGTATGTGTGTGAACAATGTGCATCTGGGGATCTCCATCTAATCAAGTTGGATCCTCTGGTAGAAAACCATTTGTCCTCACATTGCTTCCACCCAGCACACTACAGGAGACCATTATCCATTTCTCTAATCAGAAATCAGTACAACGTACTTGAGGGACTGAGTGGACACCTTTCTTGCAAAGGATTGGGCTGTAGATGGAGGCCGCTTAAGCCTGCTGGAGCTTGCAGGACAGTGTGTGTCCCTTTGGTTTTACTTTCTTGGCATACTTACCAACATTTGTTCTTACTCTGTGTTCATTTGGTTCATATACTAAAGAAGGAACTACGGCTTCATCTGTACTAGGCAAGGGTCTCCAACTTCTTTTACTCAGCATAGAAATACAGGGGCCTTGACCTCACTATGTACCTGAGGGTGCTAGAACGTGTGATCCTGCTGTCTCAGTCTTCTTATTAGTAGGAAGGGTTACTCATTAGCTATCTTTTACTTTTTTTTAATTTTTGGTTTTTCCAGACAGGGTTTCTCTGTGTAGCCCTCAATGTACTGGAACTCGCTCTGTAGACCAGGCTGGCTTCAAACTCAGAGATCCACCACCCTCTGCCTCCATGGTGCTGGGATTAAAAAAGTACCACCACTGCTCGGTACTTTTATTTTTTCTTTCACCTTTGTCTTTCCTTTCTCTCTCTCTCTGCCTTCCTATCCAAGGTGTAGTAGGTGTTTTTTTTTCTTGTAGTTTTGAGTTGCATGTCCTCAGTGGTTAGTGATGTTTACCAGGAATGCATGTGTCTGTAGTGGGTATCTGAAGAGTCTTCTTAGAAGAAAGGTCTAATCAAGTGTTTTTCAAGGTTAATTCCTTGAGTTTTATCATTGCAGAGATTTGGATATCTATTTGCATATCTTTGAGTATGTTAGCCTGTCAACAGTGTCTGATTTGGGACATTTTGTTCCACTTTGTGAATTTCCTTTATTTTAAATGAACAGAGGATGTGGGGTTCGATTCTCTGTAGCTACATGGTGGCTCATGACCACCCATAACTCCAGTCAGTGGGAACTAAAGCCCTCTTCTGGCCTCTCCAGACACCTGGTATGCACACAATACACATACATACATGCAAGCAAAACACTTATAAATAGAAAATAAGTCTTTAAAAATAGTTATCTATTTGGACGTGTCCTTATCTATTCACATATGGAAACTGGAGCACAACTTTCGAGAGTGAGTTCTCTCCTTCTACCACATGTATGTTTCAAGGACTGACTCAGGGTGCCAGGCTGTGGGAAACAAGCACCCTTAACCATTAAGCCCATCTTGCTAGTGACAATTCAGTTCATTTTTGCAAACATTTATTAATTGCACAAAGTGATGTGAAAAGCTTTAAATGCTTGTGACATCTGATTTTCTGCCAATTCAAAACCACAACACCAAATTCACTATCACGTATATTTCACCTTACTTTTAAAAAATATTTTTATAAATCACTTCTCCCTTGTATTTCTTTGATTCAAGCTAAGTTATTTTTGAAAACAGCCCCAGCCAAGGTTCAGTATTATACTTCTGCTTGAGGATATCAATTTTGCCAGAGCGTACGTGGCAGACTGTCTTCTTCCACTGAGTGGAGATGGTGCCCTTAACCATGTAGTTTACTTCTGGATCCTCTCTTCTATTTCATGGCCTCTCTGCACCTGTCTCCTTCTCCTTTCATTTCTGATATCAGTCATTTATAACGTGTCATATGACTGTAGTTTGGGATGAATAGTGATAACTACCTTTTTATTTTTTGGTGGATCCCTGGTTGTCCCAACATCTTCTTAGGGGATGTGTCTATAGAGTAGTTAGCTCAGTTTTACTAGAGTTTTGTTGCTTACATTCATATTTCTCTTAATATATGTTTTTGTATTTTACCTTTTTTCTTCTAATGTCTTTGAGGTCATTGTAAAAATGCATTGCCAAATCTTGTGTCATGCAAGGTTTTCCTGTAATATTTCCACAGTTTAAGTCTTACTAGTCTTTGATTTATGCTCAGCTATTTTTGAATATAGCTTATGCTCAGGTCCATGATTTATCTTCCTAAGTGGGGATGTTCAGTTTCCCCTGCACCAACTGTGGTGGAACGCTTTTTCCCACTGAGTGGTCTCGGTGGCCTTGACCATGTAGCTGAGGGGAGGTCATTTCTGGGGTTTCTTTGCTATTTCATTGGTCTGCATGTCATCTGTCTGTATGCCAGACTTTTTTTTTAAAGGAGAACATGTTTGGAAGGGGCCACAAAGGTGCTCTTGGGCTTCTCTTTATGGGCCTATAGTTAATAATAAGTTATTAGATTCTACATATGTACTTTTCTATGTTCTCTGTTGACATGATGAATGTTTTTCCTTTTATTAAAATAGATTATTTTCTCACACAACATATCCTGATTATGGTTTCCCCTACCTCTACTTCTTCCAGGTCCTCCCCACTTTCCCCCAGACCTACTCCCTTTCTCTTTTTCATTAGAAAAGAACATCTTCTAAGAGGTAACAAACAAACGTAACAAAATAAGATATAATAAGATAAAACAAAAGCTATCATTTGAAGTTGGACATGGCAACTGGACAGGTGGAAAAAAGTCCCAAGAGTAGGCACAAGAGTCAGCTCTCAGTTCTCACTCTCAGAACTTCCATAAAATTATTAAGCTAAAAGCTGTAACACATATGCAGAGGACCTGCTGTAGATGCATGTAGGCCCCTTGCTTGCTAGTTCAATCTCTGTGAGCTCATATGAGCCTCACTTAGTTAATCAGGAGGGCTTGTTCTCCTGGTGTCTTCCATCTCCTCAGGCTCTTACACTCTTTCCACCTCCTCTTCCAGGGGGTTCCCTGAGCTCTGAGGGGAGGGATTTGATGGATGACTGAAAAAGTGTACGCCACACTTATAATGTCCGCAGCTTGGTAGCATGTTTGAAAATTATGAAGTGTGACTCTTCCTACTTTACTCTTTTCCAAGATTATTTAGAGTAACATGGCCTCTGAAGATTCCATATGAATGTTAAAATGGATGTTTCTATTGCAAGAGGTTTTTGCAATTCCAGGGACTTTCCCCAGGGTCTACAGAGAGCAACTCTGTGACACTGGCATCTGAACACTATAACATTGTTTAGTTTTTCAATTTGTAAGTAGTCCAGTACTGGCTAACACACCCGGAGATAGGATTTCTGTGTATTTGTTGGCAAAATTATTATTAACTTCAATCTTTCTCAAAGGTATTTAGGAACATCTATTAAGAGTTTAAAATATACCTTTATCCCACAAATCCTACTTACACTATTGTACAGAAATGTAAGCAGCAGAATAAAAATGTACGCAAAGCTATTCACTGCATCCCTGATGGAACTGCAGAAAACACTGCTAAAGGTCTTTCAGTAAGGACTCTTGATTGCCTCATGACACATTCTTATTCAGAGAGCCTCACACTGAAGGTTTGAAGAAAATGCTGGTTGGCTCGGGTTAGAGGTGAGGAGAATCTTTGCATAGGGTGCTGTTTCTGTTTAGGACCAACAAAGCCCTCCACACAGGTATCTACCTGTAGGAAAACAGGGGAACACCTGCCAGGCTGCTAACACCGGCTATCTGAGGGTCCACAGGCTGGGGACCCTGTGAAGTAGAAGCAACGGGGATGAAACGCGGCGGTACTTTACACACCTGTGTTACAGTGACTCCTTTGCCTTTAAGCTTCTGCTTTTTGATAGGAGATGCCGAAGCATGTAGGTTTTGGTGAGACTCTGTACCTTTTTCCTTTGTCTTTTGATATTTAGACTGCCCTGAAGAATGAGAAAAATGTCATTACACCTTACTAAAAATAAACTAACTTCATCTTTTTGAAAGTTAAGACACATTTTGTGCCTCTTCTGAAGCACAGTGATTTTGATGAAGTTTCTGAAGCAGGGCCCATGTATGAATTTTCCTCGCCTGGTAGTTATAAAAGCATGTATCTGGGAGAGAGCTAAGTGTGTTGGCACATGTCTACTCCTAATTTCTGCCACATGGAGAGGGGGTTGATACAGGTAAATGGAGACTTGGGGGCTAGGTGGGCACAAAGAGTGAATTCAGTGTCAGCTTTGCTGCACCTAGGAAGATCTTGTCTCAAATAATAAGAAAATTGGAGGGCTGAAAAAATTGTTCAGTTGGTGGAATTCTTACCTACTACCCGTAATTCCCGAGTTCAGTCCCCAGCACAGTGCACACTAGGCATGATGGTACATGCTTGCAATTCCAACTCTCAGGTGGATACAGATGGACCAGAAGTTTAAGATCATTGTTGGCTACATAAGGAGTTTGAGGCCTGCTTGAGCTACATGAGACAGTTTTCAACATCTTCCCCAAAATAAAAACCCAAAACAAACACCCCCCAAAATATAATAATAAAAATATTTTCAACGTATGCTCACTTGAAGATAAATGCTGAAGTTAAAAAACAGAGTGTGGCCAGCAGGAGTGTTCTTATACCTACAACGTACTTCTTACATAAAATGAAGCATTTGGCTCTTCGATTCACTAAGGTGAGTGTGTGAACAATGTGCACCCGTTGCTCGCCCTCAGATCCACTTATCCTCACTCCGTTTTCACCCAGTATACACAGGAGACCATTAACCTTTCTCTCTGATCAGTGAGAGATGTAGATGAGGGTCACTAAGAACGAGACAGCATCCGTGCTGCAAGTGTCAGGGCTGTAGAGGGGAGGCTGCTCAAGTCTGCTGGAGCTCAGGGGACACCATGTGATCCTGGCCCCAACTTCTAGACGTCTCAGCCAGTGTTTGTTCTATTTCCCTTTTCTTCTTCAATCTAGGGCGTTATGTGTGGTGAGCAAATGTGATGCTACCAAGCTACATCCATGACCATCCCACATTTTATTTTTCTTTACTTTGGGACAGTGTTACACTAAGTTGTCCCAGCTGATCCTGAACATTCCATCCTTGTCTCTCTGTCTCTGAAGCAACTGGAGTTGTAGGCCTATGCTCCTTCTTTCACTTGTGTTCCTCTTCCTTCCCTTCCTGATAACAGCTGTCCACTGGGAGTGATGTCTACACTGATGTCCTTCTCCAGTTCCTATCTGAGGTGTAGGTCTCAATTAATAAACAGTTGCTATCAGTCCTTTATTAGATAAAGACATGTATGTATTTTCACACATACTAGGGGTTGCTTTTTACTCTGCTGGCAACGTCCTTTTATTTTGTTTACTTTTTACTAGCCAATATTAAATGCACAAAATTCATTATCCTCTGGTGTGCAAGTTTCAATTCTCATGAAGCCCAACTAGTCTATATTTTTCTTTTTTGACTATGTCTTTGATGTCAGTACTAAAATACAATCTGTCTTGCAGGGTTTTCCATGTTTTATTTGATTCTTTGACAGTTTTGCTCTTTCATATAGGTCTTTGATTCATGTTGAGTCATATTCTGAACCGAATTTAAGTCGAGGACCCCCTTTCATGCTTCTGCATGGGGATACCCAGTTTCGCAGTACAATATGTAGTAGAATGCCCTTTCCCCATTGAGCAGTCTTGATGCCTTTGACCATGTAGGTAAGAACTTAAATTTGGGATCTCTAGTCTATTTCACTGGCCTGGGTCTCATCTGTATGAACTGTAATATCTCCATTACTATAGCCTGGAAGAATATTTGGGAATTATAAATAGACTCTTCCTACTGTGTTCTTCTTTTTCTGAGGTTTAGAATATTGTGCTCTCTGAAGATTATGTATGAATTTAAACATGATCTTTTCTATTTCTGTAAAATATTTTTGAATGCTAAGGAGTCTTCAGTCTTTAGATAATTTTTTATTGTGGTGACATCAAAATAATGTAATTTTATATTAATGTTTTTAGTTTATAAAATGTCTAGTGCCAACTAACATGTGGGGTAATAGCTTTTTCCTGGATTTAATGGCAAAACTGTTAAGGAACTATAAATATTTTCGAAAGTATTTAGCAAATGGCTAAAATTAAAACTATATAAATACTTAATCCAACAATACCATTATATACTTAATTTTATTTATTTTACTTTATGTGTGTGTGTATGCTTCTGTGGTGTGTGTGTGTGTGTGTAAGATACGGTGTACACGTGCATGCTTGTGTGCTTCCCCAAGTGTGCTCTTAGGGAGGACAGAGGTCAGGGTGGAGTGTCTTCCTTTATTACCGTCCTCCTTACTTTTTGAGATAGAGTTTCTTACTGAACCTGGGGCTCACCATTTGGCACATTAACTGGCAGAGGATCTTTACTTGCTCTGGGTTACAGATATACACCATGACAACCTGCTTTTTTTTAAAACATGGGTTGGGGAGATCTGAAATTAGGTCCTTGTGCTTGTGCAGCAAACATGATCCTGTGAGCCATATCCCCAGCTCTACTCACTCAAATTTACAGAAACATCAACACAAGCATCATAGTAAAAATGTAGGAAATGATAATTATTGCGATGTTGATCATAGCTCTAATAAATGAACATCATTAAAAAGGAATCATTGAATGCACAATGACATACTGACATTTTAGAACATCAAGCAGAAAAATAGAAATGTATCAGTTTAACCTGGATTAGAGGTAAGGACAGGATTCTAGGGCTGTACAGAACCCTCAAGCCCTGCCTGCATGTGTCCCACAGAAAAGCATGGGGAGCACATGTTGGCTTGTGTGGTTCTTCCCTGGAAGGTGCCACAGGACTGAGAATTGGTGAACAGAAACAATGGGAATAGAACAGAATGTTATTTCATGTATCTGTCATAATGTTTTACCTTTATGTTCATATTTTTTTGAAGAGGTGATTGAACTATGCAGCTGATTTTCATGTTCAGCTTTTCTCTTGTTTTCATTTTTGGGGTTCGGATCCCCTGAAAAATGATGGCATACAATTATACAAGAGGTAAACTGATTTTAAATTTTAAAAACATAAAATAAACCCCTGCTAATGCACAGTTACTTTTTCTTTTTTCTTATAAATTTAGGTAAACCACAAAATAACTGCACCATAAGAGTGCAAGTCAGGAAACCCAAGACTAAATAAAGCTGTCTTTTGGAGGGAGGGTGAAGCACCTTGGCACTTGAGATGCTACATTGCAAAAAGAAAAATAGAAATGCTGTATAAAAACACTAGAAGAACGTTTTAAAAATCATAGCACAATATAAAATCCCACGAGTCAATTAATTCTGTATTATAGATGGAATTTTAGCTCTAGGCAGAATAATTTTTACAAAGAAGGTGGCATTTGTACAGTGAAAACTACAGAGATAAATGCAGAGAGGGTCAATGAATACTCTTAAGAACATATTTCTAACATTAGAGTAAAACAAACATAATGAAAATGTTGAACTTTATTTGAGGGCAAATCCCAAAATAAGGAATCAGAACATTTTCAGTTAGAGTATAGTGTGCCATAGATAACAATCACATGACAACCATAGGTGACAACTACATGAAAATACTGAGTTCCCATAGTAAAGTCTTCCATTGATTATGACAACTGTCTGCATGAAAAATGTCCTGTCTGTCACTGGTTTTTAGAGTGAAAGTCTAACACTCTGGTCTAAATGATTTATCTTCTTATCATTTCCATTCTGGACAAAGCAAGTGAACATGACTTCTTTCTAACCAGGGAGATAAATGATATATGGCTTATATTCTGGGTAGCTGGTGCACGTTCTTAGCTGATGCTGAATATTTTGAGTGGATGGTGAACATTCTGAACAGATGGTGTATACTCTGACAGAGAAGCCATGTGTGTTGGAAGTGACAAGGCCCGTGGGCATGGCTGCTCAAGCCTGTTGGGGCTCAGGTGATGGTACTATTTGCTAGAGTGTGAGACATGTTGCTGCAGGATTTTGTGTTGGGCCTGCTGGGTTCTGGTCTTGCTTTCCTCTCTTCGTCAGCAGCAGAAATGTTTATTCCATGCCAGTTTATGTTGAAAGTCTGTAACTTGTTCTCTGATTCTACAGGTGCTCACTGTTAGAGGTTAGACCTCCATCTCACAAGACACTTTGGATTTATGAATAGTTTTGTCATTGTTTGTTAGTCTATGGAAATAGTTCAAATGGGACTAAATGCTTTTTGCATTACAGGAGGGCCTCTGGAAGGCTTAGACTAGACTATTAAGGTTGAGTGTAAAATGCACCCTGATCACTGGCTCATGGTTTGAGTACCTATTACCTGGGAAATGTTGCTAATTTATGAGACTATTGAGCCCTTTAGCATGGGACCTAGCTGGCAGAAGTTGACTTCTAGAGAAGGCCTTTGAAGGTAAAAACCAAGTTTCTGTTCTGGTGCTGCTTTCTGCTTCCTGTCTGTTCCAATCAGAGCAGTTCTGCCATTGGCTCCTGTCCAGGGATGGAGCCTTATGGCCACGCCTATGTTGCCATGGTAGACTGAGACACCAGTTTAAACAAACCTTTCCTACCCTACATTGCTTCTTTCCAAGGAGTTTGGTTCTAGCCACAGAAAAGTCAGTAATATTCAGACTATATTGTATTTTTTTGTCTGTTTCTTTGGGCAGTGTTATCACTGATAGTTAATACCTCATTCTCTGATATGTGATAGTCTACTTCCTGAAGGTCCCAGAGTTTTAGGAAATAGCACCACACCTGAGGAACAATTCTAAACAGGGGGCCCAGTCTGACATTTCGCATCTATCTCAGAATCGTTTAGCCTGGCCCCCTAAAGCCTTGGCTAAGAGCCAGAGACCCATGTTTGAGGTGTAGCTAGGGGTTAATCAACAGGAAGCAGCACCGTAGGTGACTGAGGGAAAGGCTCAATCCAGTAGCAATTACATTTGTCTACAAGATACAGGCAGACAACTGGTTCCAGCTTGAGAAGCTCTGAAAAGCGAGGGTGTGTCACGGAGAAAACTCCTGTCTATCTTCTCATTGTTTTTCTGTTTTCTGAATCCTAGGACTTGGCTCATTGTTTCAATTATCCTCAGCCATCAGACAGGATTTCTGACCAATTCCTTCTAGGAAGAAAAGAGGCCTCATTTCCCTGTATTCCTCTTGCCTGTCCTGGAATGTTAAATATCTTCTGCATGTGCTTGTAGCAAAACAAGATGTGACAAAAATAGCAGCCCAGTCAACCTTTTCTTCGTTGCGTTTGTTTTTCAGGCAACTGTATGGTGTGTGTATTTCTTTTAGGTATTAGAATGCACAGCACACCAAGGAAAAATCATTCATGTTATAAAGGAGCTCAGTACTTGCAGGGTAATTACAAAACGCCTCTGCAGTAGTTAACATGTTCTTAGATGTTAATGGGATTGGATGGCTGGGGAGATGGCAGTGAACAGAAAGGTGAGCATATGGATACTTGTCTTCCCATCTCTTCTCCTGCTCCACTTTTCTACAGAACACTTTGTTGGGGACTGCAAACAAGGGGGATGCAGGTGTGAAAGGGAGAGGGTTATGGGTTTATCCTGATCATCCTCAAGAACTACTGTGGTGAGCAAGACAAGAAAAATCTCTGGGAAGGAAATGGAGATCCAACTTCATCATCATGAGGAAGGAAGAGAAGTGGCAGGGATGCCACTCACCTTCATGTGCCAGCTGAATAGAATTTGGTGCCTGTCCACTTGTGTTTTGCTAAATTCTATTCTGATGAAAACTAATACTCTTGATAATTCCTATATAATGAATGTCTTCAGTAAAATAATCATGTTGCATGCAGACATTAAACATTACCTGAAATCTTTCTGTTCAGTAAATGCTGGAAGGATTCAGGGATACCTGAATTTTCCCGCGAAGTCCTATAAAATGGTTTGGGGGTTGCATCTGCATACGGTGAAGAGCCTTTCATGTTTCCTTGTAGAAAAATTTAGACAGTTAGATACAAAATGCATCACATTTACAGTTGCTTTTGATAGTCACAGTAAGTTAGGTGTCAATAAAAATGAAGTTAGAGGAAAGTAGATAATTAAGAATATTTTGAGATAATTAATTCAATTAAGAATATAAAGATATAGCTGGGCAGTGGTGGAATTCCAGCACTTGGGAGGCAGAGGCAGGCAGATCTTTGTGAGTTCGAGGCCCAGCTGGACAAACAGCCTCCAAAACAATACAGAGAAACCCTGTCTCGTAAAAAAAAAAAAAGAATATAAAGGCATACACTGCAGAGGAGAGTTTTAGGGAATGGTAAGATTCTGTTCTATGATATTCAAAATGGGCAAGCCTTCCAGAAACAAAGATTATTTGTTGTTGCCTAGGGTTCTAAAGGAGCTAGAGAATAATAGTTAAGAATTATGTTTTATCATGGGACTGATCAAGACCCCCTGAATGTGGGTGTCAGTGAGGAGGGCTAGGCAATCTATTGGGCCTTGGGTAGTAGATCAGTATTTATCCTGGGTATACAAATGGACTTTGGGCACCTATCCAATAATGAGAGATGCACTCTCACCCTGGACTCTTGGGGGAGGGTCTAGGCCCTGCCCTGGATGAAATGACAGACTATGGACACCCCCATGGAGGGCCTCACTCTCCCTGGGGAAATGAGGAGGTATTGGGGGGGTTGGTGGGAGGGCATGGGAGGAGGGGAGGGAAAGGGGGAGGGACCTGGTATTGACATGTGACACAACCTTGTTTCTAATTTAAATTTAAAATAAAAAAGAGTTTAAAAAAAGAATATGTTTTATTGTTTTATTTTGTAATGAAGCTATGGCTGCTAGCACTGGGAACAAAATTAGGCCCACCAACAGTTAGATATATGTGGGGGGACAGGCTTAGTTGGATATACCCCTCATTACTAAGGAAATTGTAGGGGGGATAGTGGTCGGTGGGGATGGGGGAGTATGGTAGGATGGGGGGAGTATGGTAGGGTGGGGGGTATGGCAGGGTAGAGAGGGGTTATGGCAGGGTGGGGAGGGAGTATGGTGGGGTAGGGGTGAGCATAATCAGAGTGCATTCTACACATGTAGGAAATTGTCAAGGAAGAAATTTAATTAATAGACAACTTTTCACAGAATTCAGAAAATATATTTAAACAACTTAAAAAATGTCTTTTACCCTTAAGGCTAAGTGGATATCATAGAAGAAGGCATGGAAAGACCTAATGTAAGAGTAAAAGATGGGGCAAGAGTGCCAGCTATGAATGTTATCTTCTGGACATGAGATGGCCATTGTACTAAAGCATGTCTTTTGATGAATTTCATGTCTATTTAAAAAGGAAAAAGATAGAAAAACCAAAGTCATATGATGCTGTAAATTAAACTCTATGTCAAATAAAAGGCCCCCATGAGACAGCCATTGTGGGACTACCCAGACCACTGAGGAACCCAACTTCAGGGAATGAGCAAGCCAGTAGGCAGAAACCATTGCTTCTGCTTCACGTTTCTGTCATGAATTCCTTCTTAATCAATTATGACCTGGAAGTGGAGGCCAAATAAACCCTTTCTTCCTCTAAAGTCCTTCTGATGAATACAGTAGCCAAGTTTATCTCAGCAATAGAGAAGCAAACTGGAGTAGCATCAAAGTATCAGTGTATTTTGTGGAAACACAAAACTAGAAAGGCAGTCCTAAAACTATATATGAAGGCACAAAAGACCCCAGATTACTGAAGGAGTCTTGCGCAAAGGCACAATGCTGCAAGCCGGATGAGGAGGGGACACCTGATGTGCCAGCACTTGGAAAGCTTTGGGGCAGAATTAGGAACTCAAGGTCAATCCTGGCTACACTAAGTACAGTGTACACAGACTGCATGAGACCTTGTCCCAAAACACAAAATAATTTTCCCAAACTGCCAACAACAATAACAACAGAAAATAAAACAAAACCAGACAGGTTTGGAGATAAATACAATAAGCTGACTTCAAAATATAAGTAGAGGCTATAGCAATAAAAGCAATTATGGTTTCATCATTAAAACAGACAAACTAGTGGAGCAAAATCTATGCCAAGAAACAGAGTCACACACATCTACAGCCAGAGGAAGTGCTAAGATACACAGCAGACACAGTCTTCAACTGGTGAGTGTTTCTGGGGGGAAGAATGGAAACAAACACCTTACTTTTTCTCAGTTACAGCAATCAACTCAAGGTGGATTAAAGACTTAAATGTAAAGTCGCCAATTATGGAAAAGTTTGAAGAAAACATAAAAGATTATGTTTGTGAACACTGGAATTCAAAAAAGAGGTTAGAGTGTATCTGGGTGTTGAGAGCTTGGCTAGTTTACACAAGGACCTCAGTATCACAAACACTCGATAGCCTTATCATATGATCGAGCTACTGTACACTTTGATGAATGTTACAGATAATCATACAAACAAAAACACTCAAAGATTGTTGCTGCTGTCAATATTAATTTTAGTAGCCCTTTAGGAAACCAAACTACAAATATCTTTTAATATTAGGAACCTGCATATACTTTAACAGAAAAATCTCAAATCTTGGGCTTTCTCTATTCCAGAGAAATAAATGTACCACTGTGTGTGTGTGTGTGTGTGTGTGTGTGTGTGTGTGTGTGTGTGTACATTTACTGGTGGCAATGGCCTTTGCCCTTTTAGTGGCATAATGGCTGAATAAAGCATTCTAAACTATGAGATGTTACACTGTCAACAGAAAGAACAAAAAAAGCTATTTCATTTTCAGGCACCAGGGAGGTTCGTGACAACACAGTTAAATAAAAACATAAGGTACAAAAAGGACAAATGAAAAGACATACTTCTGAGCTATTTTAGGCAATTAGATCTTGTTTTTTTGTTTTCGTGTATATTCTCTTACTTTGACTGGCGAAGGGTGACAGATTGATCACTTTTGTTGGAAATTCCATTGGTGGATGGTACTTGGCATTAATATTTTCTTGAGGTTTGGTTTTCAATGAACTCACACCTGAAACAAAGTTTGAAAGGAAATTTGTATGTCAATTCTGAGTATTCACAAATCATGTGGCAAACTCTGTATACTCATCTTTATTTTTTCATTCATATTTTCCTTTCCCATGTTTTATTCAGTGCTCACTATTTCTTCAATTTCTACAATGCCTTCCATCATTTCCTCTTTTTTTGTCTTTACACTGAGTCCTGTGATAGTATCCTTCTTAATTGGGGCCTGTACCCACTGCCTAGTGTGCTCATTTCTACATTTGCTCTGTAGGCAGGCAGTTAGGAGGCCAGTGTCAGAAGCATTGTGTATAAGCTGCTGAATCTCCCAGCCCAAGCACAACTAACAGTTGTTATGTTTAGCTGTCACAGTCACACTATCAGAAAAGTAATATATACATGTGACTACAGAACAGGACACTTAGACAGAGCCAGGCCATGTGTTGTGGGCTAGTATCATCAGAGAATTAGGAGGATGAAGCAGGAGGATCACAAATGCAAGACCAGCCAAGGCTTCAGAGCAAGTTAACTACAGCTTGGGTAACTTAGCAAAACCCTGTGTAGGGGGGGAGAGAGAGAAAGAAAGAGGGAGGGAGGGAGGGAGGGAGGGAGGGAGAGAGAGAGAGAGAGAGAGAGAGAGAGAGAGAGAGAGAGAGAGAGAGAGAGAGAGAGAGAGGAGAGACACAGGGGACAGAGATGACAAGATCTGAACACTTTAATTATTCGCTAGATATTGTACTAAACTAGATGGTAAGAGGTTTTGTAAGGCTACAATGGCAGACCATGGAGAGAACACATTACCGTTGAAAATTTCAGAAGCCATGGCTTAGACTTCCAGCATTTGTTAGGAAAGGGGAAAGCTGAGGAAAATACGTAAATCAACAAAAATAGAAACCTTAATGCACAGTGAGATGATGTCCCAACACTGCAAACTTATGCTTATTATGTATATTATTTTCATGAAACCATCCATATGTAATTATTTGTATGAAGGGTCTTTGATATGGCTTGATACTGTAAGTTGAATGTAATTTTGGTATAGCTGGCTTACAAGTTCACCCCAAGTGATTTAATCCCAATAGATGATATTTAAATATGTTTCTCCCAATATTGCTAAGATGTAAAAGAGTAAATAATAAATTCTAGAGATCAAACACAAGGGAAAACATTTAATTGAGAGAGTTTTATAAGAAAGACTCGTGTATGTAGTGCATTTTAAAAAACTGAATGTGATTTCATGAAATTGTGACAAGGGAAAAGAGCATATGGGAAGTTCAACAATTAATGGAAAATAAAACAGAAAACTGTGACAAAATTTTTAGAAAATACTTGCGTAAACATCATTATATAGATCCTGTCATTGCACATGGTAGCATCTGAGAAACTAGAGAATGAGAGGGTGACCGCGTAGAGAGGACACCGTATGTTGTATTGGTAACATGTATTTTCAGTGTGCCCCGAATGTTTCTACCCCCCATCTGCCCATGGCCACGGAAGCATCTTGTGATGGCACTGGATATAGGCCTTTATCAAATCATGATTGCTGTTAGCATTGTCCTGAGGCCCCAGAGCTCTGCTTGCTCCTTCCAGCACTTGAGGACAGAAAGAGACATATTTCTGATTCAAGATGTAGTCCCCGCCATGTGAGAAATATGCTTCTATGGTGTACAGACCATCCAGTCTAACATAATACAATCTTTGTCTCTCCTGAATTTCAAAATATTTCAGTGGATTAAATAAAAACTGCACAGTATGAAAATTCTTCTAAGCAGCCACTTACCTTACATGTCTTCTTTACCCTGATCAACCATGAGGAATTTTATCAGGAACTTACCTGGACTAAAACTTTTCTTTGGAAATGAACTCATATCTAAAACAAATGTTAAAAAATCACCCACTGATACCATGACATTATATATACACATTACCCTCAAGCTCTATGTGTTGGTCTTTATTTGTAATACTTTTTCCTATATTATATGAGTGGCACTCGCCACTATACTGGGATGGGAAGATTATATTGTAAAATTCAGACTCAGCAGGGAGGTGGATGTTAAGACTCACTTTCCCCTCGTGTCTTTACAAGGAAGCAGGCATGGCAAGTCCCTGAGGACACTAATCAGAACCAACTTTGAAAAACTGATCATAGCTGAAGCCTTTCTAGGATCAAAGAGAAGTGTGTCTAACACCATTCAAGACCAACAGTAATCTGTGACTGATACAGATCATTGGAAGAAATCCACTGCAGGGCTGCACCATGCACTCTCACCCACATAATCTGAAAAACGGAAGTGGCCGAGAGGGGGCTGTCTTGTAGCCTTCTTCTGAACACACTCACCAGAAAGACTGCTGCTTCTTCAAGCTCAACACAAGCCAGAAGTGGAAAGTGAGTGGGATAGCATCAGGATGATTGTCCCCAAACACACCAAGATTGATGTGGCATGGGGTTTGGGATAGGTTATTTTCTAATTGGCTCAGTTTCAATATTCATATTACTTACTTTACACCTACTTATAATGAACTCTAGAATTTCTGTGTAAGAGAGAATCACAAAAATTGTTGCTTACAAAATAACAAAGCTACTGTTACTATAGGTTAGAATTAAATCATAAGTATATGACTTGAAAAATTATTATTCTTACCAAGTTGATCTTTCAGTGTTCCAAGCAGTTTTGTTCCTTTAACCATCTTTATATCTAAAGACACAAACACATGTCAGAATACTGTGTAAAGGGAAAAATGAATAAACAGCTTTTGTTTTTTTTTCTTTGACATCCCCAACTCTGCTGATACTATGTTTCATGGACATTATAGTGATGGTTAATTTTGAATGCCAAACTAAACTGGATTTAGAATCATGTAGGAGATACACCTCTGAGTATGTCTGTGAGCATGTTTCCAGAGAGGATTAGCTCAGAAGGAAAGGTAGCAGCACCAGTCCACGTATGAAATCAAGACTCCTCTCTGTATTTAATCTCTCTCAACAGTTCTGCATTACTGTTACACAAAATACAACTCCATATGACAGACTGTTCTAATGTCATAATTATTTATGTCAAGATATGCCTATGAAAAAAACTGAAAAAAAAGAGTAGGTATATATATTTACAATGTTCGTTACAGCAACCCATTTGGCTAAATTACCTGGTTCTTTGCATTTGTTCCTATAAATCTATTTTTTCTTTCTTTTCTTTTTTTTTTGAGACAGGGTTTCTCTGCAGCTTTGGAGGCTGTCCTAGAACTAGCTCTTGTAGACCAGGCTGGTCTCGAACTCATAGAGATTCGCCTGCCTCTGCCTCCCGAGTGCTGGGATTAAAGGCGTGCACCACCACTGCCTAGCTGTGAATCTATGTTAACAATCAGTATCACTGTTTTACCTGAATGCACCATCATTCTCTCCCATCACTTTTGTGTTGCACTAGGAAATGCACTCCATTTCTTTTAGTTTTTTATTAGCACATATTATTTGTGCAAAATAATGATAGGTTTCACTGTGATATTTGTGCTATATTTCTATCACAGTAAAGGCTCAAAGACAGATTTATAATGTGTCAAATTAGTGACATAAAAGAGATGCAATGAATATATATACAGTCTTGTAATTATAGAATTATTTCTACTTATGTGTTTTTATTTTTTGGGGGGTGATATAAATCTCTCCTAAGTATCACCCAGATGAACTTTCTTAAAACAGGGTGTCTACCAAACACACTGTCTAAAATTTTACTTTGTTGATATTCCATCTTCATTTAAAAAGAAAGTTTTGTTCATTGTAAGATTCCTGGTTGAATTTAATTCCCTAGTATTTTGAATGTCTATGCCCAGTGTGTTCTGGGATTTGTGATTTCTGATGACCTCAGGGCCTATCTTTTTGATGAAGAGTTCTATCTTCTGCCTCCATGATTTTGCTCATCAACATTTGTCACACAGTGGTTCTGGCTATGGGTTTTGGTGCTTATTTCATTACTGTCTATTAAGTTTGCTTGTGGAGAGCAATAGCCATCAAATGCTTTAAAGACCAATGGCTATTTCTTCAACTACATTCCTGCTCTTTTTCTGTTCCTGTCCATTTGCAACTTTTTTCACTCTTGCTTAAATTTTCAGAGCCATTATTTATTAGACACTTTGATTAGTTTTTCCCAATGTTATATCCTTTCTCTGTCCCTCTGATATCATGTGTCTTTATTGGTACCCTCTATATGATGAGACATTGTTAAGAACTGCAATATGTTCCTGTGATTCACATCTGAAGTTCTGACTGCCTATGAGAAATGTTTGGAGCCAACTCAGTGAGTTCAAAAGGTGAGTCCTTGGAGACATTAAAAGAAAAGGGGCAGGGCACAAGCAGGCTCCCTTCAGCAGCTTTCTACATGTGTACTGATGCTCCTCCCCTACTAGAATTTTACAGGGGTGCTGTTGGAGTGGATCAGTTCCAAGCTAGTAACACTGGATAATGCTCCATTAATGGTAGACTCAAGGGTACTAGTTATAGAAGAGAATTTGTGGAAAGGTGATATCCTGTAAGGTGAGGTGACAGCAGGTGGTAACTGTCACCTAGACATGATCTAAAATCACCCAGGAGATGCTCTTCTGGGAACGTCACTGCTGCATATTGGGACTGAGTTAACCGAAGTGGGAAGGCCTGACCACTGTGTGTCATACTGCTCCCAAGTCCAGGAGATCCTGGACTGTCTAGGAGTAGCAGAAAGAGCCATCTAAGAGTTAGCAAGCATGCATTTATCATTGATCTTTTCCTCTCACTATGTATGTGACGTGGCCAGCTGCTTCAAGCTCCTGTGGCCTTGACTTTCCTGCCACAATGGTTGTACTTGAACCTGTGCAGCAAAATACCCCCTCCTCCCTTAAGTTGTTTTTTCACACCAATAGGAAAAGAAACTGAGATAGTTGGTAACTATTGAGTCTAGAAGAACTAACAATCATACACATTAGGTTTGAAAAAAAGAGCTGCTCTTACCCTTCTTACTCTTTGACTCTGTTTTCACTGGCTTCTTTGATTTGGGTCTTGCAGGCATACCTTTTACGGCTGTTGAAATCTCTGTAAAATTAAACTGATTTGTGAGCTACTTGAAAAGAAGCTGTAATATACAGCTCTCCCCCTCTCTGTTTCTTGCATATATGCATAGTGAAACTTATTTAATATTCACTATTTAGAATAACAATCAGAAGCTGGAGATACAGCTCCATAGTTAAAGACCTTGATGCTATTTGTGTAGGACTGGTGTTTGGTTCCCAATCATCCACATTGGGCAGCTTACAACTCCCTGCAACTCCAGCTCCAGGGGATCTAACACACTTAAAAATTTAAATTCACAGTATTTAAAATAAAATACAAATGAATGTATAGTATATATTATATAAATTATGGGCTTGACTATGAAATTCTCATGCACACATCCAACATTTTGATCATATTCTTGCATATCCTTTCTAAACACCATTATGTCCTTTCATTTCCCCAAATGCCTTCTCTTCTTTATTTTCATGATTTCCCCACTATGATTCCACATATAAGAGAAAACATACAGTCTCTGATCTTAAGAGTCATGGAAGTTCCCTAGTGGGAGAATATCTGAGCTCTCCTTAGATTATGTAACTTCATCAGGTGATAATAATGCCTTAAGAGAAAGTACCCTCTCAGAGCAACTAGGATTATTGGCTACTGTAACCATCAAGAGGGGTATTAGTAGCCAATAAAATAATTATTGATTATATTCTTGCTATCACAAATGCAAATTAGCATTTTGGCATTGGAAAATGAAAAGTAACTTTCCTAGCTAGTTAGAAATAGAAACTGATTGTTTTTGAGGCAGACTAGCAGGGCTCAGGCTGACTTAGAACACATTAAGCAGTTCAGATTGGCTTTGAACTTCTCATCTTTCTATCCCAGTTCCATAAGTGCCACCATTTCATGCTTAGAAAAAGATTGCAATATACTTAAAATATTCCCATAAGGCATATTCCGAAGTCACTGTGAAAAATCATTTGTATAGATCATTTTTAAAATAGAAGATATCAAATTTAAAAATATGTATCCTATAAAAATATACAATGGAAAAAAGAAAGCATTTTCAACAAATGGTGCTGGCATTACTGGATGCTGATGTACACAAGACTGCAGATAGATCCATATCTAATACCATGCACAAAACTTAAGTCCAAATGGATCAAAGACCTCAAAATAAATCCAGTCACACTGAACCTCTTAGAAGAGAAAGTGGGAGGTACCCTCGAACGAACTGGTACAGGAGACAGCTTCCTGAACATAACACCAGTTGCATAGACACTGAGATTGACAATTAATAAATGGCACCTCCTGAAACTGAGAAGCTTCTGTAAGGCAAAGGGCACAGTCAACAAGACAAAATGGCAGCTCACTGAATGGGAAAAGAGAGTCACCAACCCTACAAATGACAGAGGGCTAATCTCCAAAATATACAAAGAACTCAAGAAGCAAGTCTCCAAAACACCAAATAATCTAATAAAAAAATGGGGTATAGAACTAAATAGAGAATTATCAAGAGAGGAATCTAAAATGGCCGAAAGACACTTAAGAAAGTGCTCAACATCCTTAGCCATCCAGGAAATGCAAATCAAAACAACTCTGAGATACTATATTATTATTCCTGTCAGAATGGATAAAATAAAAAACACCAATGACAGTTTATGCTGGAGAGGATGTGGAGAAATGGGAACACTCTTCCACTGTTGGTGGGAGTGCCAACTCATACAGTCACTTTGGAAATCAGGATGGCAGTTCCTCAGGAAAATGGGAATCAATCCACCACAAGATCCAGCAATTCTGCTTTTAGCCATATACCCAAAAGATGCACATTCATAAAACAAGGACATCTTTTCCACTATATTCATAGCAGCATTATTTGTAATAGACAGAACCTGGAAGCTACCTAGATGCTCCTCAGCTGAAGAGTGGATAGAGAAAATGTGGTACATTTACACAACAGAGAACTACTCAGTGGGAAAAAAAATGGAATCTTAAAATTCACAGGTAAGTGAATGGAATTGGAAGAAACCATCCTGAGTGAGGTAACCCAGTCACAAAAAGACAAACATGGTGTGTACTCACTCATATGTGGATTTTAGACATAGTACAAAGGATTACCAGTCTACAATCTACACTGCTAGAGAAGCTAGGAAACAAGAAGGATCCTAAGAAAGACATACATGTTCTCCCAGAGAAGTGGAAAAGGATAAGATCTCCTGAGCAGATTGAGAGCATGGGGGGAGGGGAGAGGGAGTTCGGAGAAAGAGAAGTGGAAAAGAGGAGGAGAGAGGAGGATATTTGGGAGCAGGAAGATTGAGTCAGGAGAAGAATAGAGGAGAGCAAGAAAAGAGATAAAATAATAGAGGGAGTCATTATAAGTTTAAAGATAAATTTGGCACTAGGGACATGTCCAGAGATCTACAAGGATGACACCAACTAATAATTTAAGCAATAATGGAGAGGCTACTTAAATGCCCTTCCCTGATAATGAGATTGGTGACTACGTTATATGCTATAGCAGAGACTTCATCCAGTAGGTGATTGAAAGAGAAGCAGACACCCACAGCTAAACACTGAGCTGAATTCCTGGGATCCAGTTGCAGAGAGGGGGGAGCAAAGGGGTGAAGACCAGGCTGGAGAAACCCACAGAAACAGCCGACCTGAACAAGGGAGAGTTCATGGACCCCAGACTGATAGCTGGGAAACTAGCATTGGACCCACCAAGACCCCCTGAAAGTGGGTGTCAGGAGGCATGGGAAATCTATGGGGCCTCCCAAATGGACTTTGGGAGCCCACTCCACAGAGAGGGATACTCTCTCAGCCTAGACACATGGGGCAGGGTCTAGGCCCTGCTCCAAATGATATGACAGACTTTGAAGATCCCTTATGGAGGCCTCACCCTCCCTGGGGGCAGAAAGGGGATGGGATAGGGAATTTATGGGGGCCAGGGGAGGCGGGGAGGGAGAGGGAGCTGGGTTGACATGTAAAACATGCTTGATTCTAATTTAAATTAAAAAAGGAAAAATATGTAGCCTACTTTTCATTCATTCATAAATACTAAAATTCAAGTTAAGACAAGAAGGAATATTCTTGTAAGTAGATTTTAAAAAGTGTTCTTGACATAAGAATGCCTTGTGTTGTTAAATGCCTTCTTAACACAACAGTCAGGTATCCTATATCAATCTCTACAAAGCAACGGACCCAAACAACATAGAAATGCATACATGTGCTTACTACTATGCTAGTTAGCATTTTTCAGCAGAATGGGACAGAGTGTAGCTGGAGGGACTATTCCAGATCACAGGAGCCACACTGTGTTGAGGCTTCCACCGTGAGTGATTTGCCACCACAGTACACTGATACCAATGATGATGCACAGGGCCATGCCACACAGTTTCTTAACTGGTGCTCTTTCCAGGCAGCAGACACTTACATGCAACTTTACATCATCAAGGCTAGCTTAGACAAGAGTACACTTTAAACATATGTTAAAATCCACAAAGACTCAGGAATCTAGTTGGTGAGGTGGGAACCTAACACTTTTTTTTCCAATGTCAAGTCGCCAACCATTGTTATCATAAACTCATACACACAGCATCGTTCTCCAATCATCCAGATGTATTTCAGCAGTCTTCTTGTACTATATAACTCCAAACCTAATAGGTGCTGGTGATGGAAAGCAAGAAATACCAAGGAACAAAAGCCTTTTGTGCACCATCTTAGCAGGGAAAGTTAGTACCTCAGTGACAGAAAAAGGGAAACATTTAAATAAGTGTTCGAATTAAGATTATGTCTTTCTCCATTTAATGTTTTGTGACTTATACTTTTTCTTGTACTTCGAAATGAGTATCTAGCCAGGCAGTGGTGGTACATGCTTCTATTCCCAGCACTTGGAAGGCAAAGACAGGTGGATCTCTATGTGTTCAAGGAGTGAGTTCCAGGACAGCCAGGGCTGTTACACAAAGAAACCCTGTCTCAAAAAAGCAAAAAGCAAAAAAAAAAAAAAAAAAAAAAAACCAAAAAGAGAAAAAATGAGTATCTAGATGTAGTACCCAAAACAAACAAAAAACCCAACTCTAAATTTCTACTTTGGATGAGGCAGTTAAACATAACTGGGGGGTCTATCACGCCTACAAGGTTTTGCGAAAAAGCTGGTTGCAGCAGGACACACATGGGAAGCTGAAAATGTTTCCTGATCCTGACACAGAACAGAGGTCTTGCTCTGAAGAATGAGCTGCACCTTAGACATCTTAATTATTATGTCTTCATTGTAAAGAGTGAAGGGATTTGTAATTGAATATTTGTTCACGTACTATAAGGTACTTAGGTTATATTCACCTCTCACCATTCTCTTCTGTCTTCCCTTTTCCTGCCCTCTGTCTCTTCCCAGAGTACAGAGGAGATTGTTAGCTAGTGTAAGAACTGCGAAGTCCCTCTTTTGGTCACATCTGTGAGCCACGTTTGTACCTCACAGATTAAATACACCTTACTACTGAAATTGGACATAGGATGTGCTCAGATAACACTATACACACTTGCTTTGTAATATTCTATGCTTGCTAAAATGGCAATTGACACATGAAACATTTCCTAAATTAATGAGTTCTAAATGAAATGCTATCTACCCAACTTTCAATTTTTAATATACCTGGTCTGTACAATAATACGACAGTGTGCATGCAGATCTTTGTCCATGTCACAATAATATAAATATTGTCATTAAAGGTACATATTAATGAAAAAAGTGATGAGAAGCATTGAATTTAAGTTTTCTTACCAAGTCTACTCTTTGAGGTTGCCTTGAATTCATTTAGTAACAAATGTGGTTTGAAACTCTCTTTCACGTTTTGTAGGTCATTCTCTGTAGAAACAATGGATTCAAATACATTGATAAGGCAATTTTAAGACAGAAATGTAAGGTGTTTGTGTATATGTGATACTAATTTTACAATTTGTTACTGATGACCCCAGAACTGTCACATCATGTAATATTAGAACAGCAACATCTGTGAGCACACATATAAGCCTCCATGCATCGATGCCCAAGATCTTTGTTTTAAAAGCAAACATTCAAGTAATAATGTACTTCTTTTTTTCTATTTTTTAAATCATTTTTTAAATTTAGGTTAGAAACAATCTTGTTTCACATGTCAATCCCAGATCCCTTTCCCTCCTCCCCTGCTCTCCCCACTAGGTTCCTCAGATTCCTCACCCAATTTCCACTCTGATCCCCAGGGAGGGTGAGGCCCTCCATGGTGGATCTCCAGTGACTGTCATTTCATCCAGGGCAGGGCCTAGGCCCTCCCCCAAGAGTCCCGGCTGAGAGAGCCTCCCATATTGTGGCATGGGCACTCAAAGTCTATTTGTATGCCAGGGGATAAGTACTACCCATGGCCCCATAGATTACCTAGGCCTCCTCACTGACACCCACATTCAGGGGGTCTGGGTCAGTCCCATGCTTTCCACACAGCCATCAATCTGGGGTCCAAGAGCTTCCCTTATCCAGGTTAACTGTTTCTATGGGTTAAACCAGCCCAGTCTTAACTCCTTTATCCATCAGTTCTCTCTTTCTGACACTGGATTCCAGGAGTTCAGTTCAGTGTTTGTCTGTGGGTATCTGCCACTGTTTTCATCAGTCGCTGGATGAAGGTTCTGTTTCCCAGACTCTCTGGAAGTGGGATTGTATGCTGGCACTCACCAGATTCATGTCTAAAATCCATAAATGAGTGAGTACATACCATGTTTCTCTTTTTGGGACTGGGTTACCTCACTCAGGATGGTTCCTTCTAGTGCCATCCATTTGCCTGCAAATTTCAAGATTCCATTGTTTTTTTTTTTTCTTCCACTGGATAGTACTCCATTGTGTAAATGTACCACATTTTCTCTATCCTCTCTTCAATTGAGGGGCATCTAGGTTGCTTCCAGGTTCTGTCTATTACAAATAATGCAGCTATGAACACAGTGGAACAAACATTCTTGTTGTATGAATGTTCATCTTTTGGGTATATGCCTAAGAGTGGAATTGCTGGGTCTTGTTGTAGATTGATTCCCATTTTCCTGAGGAATCTCCGCACTGATTGCCAAAGTGGCTGTACAAGTCAACACTCCCACCAGCAGTGTAGGAGTGTTCCCCTTTATCTACATCCTCTCCAGCATTAACTGTCATTGGAGTTTTTGATTTTAGCCATTCTGACAGGAGTGAGATGGTATATCAAGAGTTGTTTTGATTTGCATTTCCTGGATGGCTAGGGATGTTGAGCACTTTCTTAAGTGTCTCTCAGCCATTTTAGACTCCTCTACTAAGAATTTTCTGTTTAGTTCTGGACCCCACTTTGGTGTTTTGGAGACTTGCTTCTTGAATTCTTTGTAAATTTTGGAGATCAGCCCTCTGTCAGATGTGGTGTTAGTGAATATCTTTTCCCAATCTGTGGGTTGCCTTTTTTGTCTTGCTGACTGGTAATAATGTAATTCTTACATGGGGTGGTGCCTCCAAGTTCTTTAATGTTTGCCACACAGGGATATATCCTAAAGGAGATTTGTAGATGAACAGTGTCAATCTGTACTGGTGACAGAGTCAACAATCCACAACTAAGTGGTGAAGCCCATAGGCAACTTTAGAAGTCACCTCAGATTGGTGTCCCTTCATACACAGGAGGTAATATAAATATTCATATATGGTTCCATTTCCTCTTTCCCATTTTATGCACATTTTAAACACATGACACATATAAACATCCTACACTATTGTATTTCTTTATGTAAGCTTCTGCCTTTTAAAGAAAATGACTCAAAGTATACGTGCAACATTTGTATTCTGCAAGAGCCTTTGCTTTGGACATTTCTAGATCTAGACATTTGTTCCTGTGTGAGTTACCTCCTCAGTCATCATTTTCTTATTCCTGGGCATCCCACATGCCCATACTATATGGCTGTACTGCAAGAGTCAGTGCCTTAGTTATAAACCTTACAATGTATTCTATGTATGTGTTGTATACAGCTGCCTTTTCAATCAATTAAGACAAGCAAGGACATACACTTTTATAATTAGAGAATCATGTTTTTTTTTGTCTGTGTAAATTCAGATAATTGAGCTGCTGGTGTGACTTTATCTTTATCTTGAAGTGTCTCTGGAAGTTTCTTGGGTATTTTTTAAAAAGCTGGTAATGAGTTCTCTTCATATTTATTTGAGGACTTTTATTCAGTTTTTTTCATTAGCATATATTTATTGAGATGGTTTTAGTTATGATGTTTTCATCCAATTATATGATGTAATTTGAACATTTTCACTTCTGTTTCCATCCCATGTTACTTCTCTTGCTCATCTGCTTCCTCTTCCTAATCTCCCTTATACTTCCACATCATACATGTGGGGTGCATGCGCGCATGTGCACACACTCACACACACACACACACACACACACACACACACACACACACGCTTGAAATTCCAAGTATGAAAGAAACCATGAAACCTTTATCTTTCTGACTTTGGGTTATGTTTTTTAAAAAATATGACAGCCCATTGTCATGAAAACTGCAGAATTTCAGTGTCTGGTAAGGATGAATAAATCTCCATTATGTAAATGTACCACACTTTCTTTATCTGTTGATACAGTATCTTGGATACTGTGAGTAGTGTTTTAATAAACAGTAATGTACAGCTATCTCTGTGGTAGTCAGACAGATACTTTCAAGTTTATACCAGGAGTGATATAGCTGAGTTATACTGTAGTTCTAATTTTTGCTTTTGGAGAACCCTATATACATTCCAGTTTACATTCGTCTTTCCTTGCAGTATCCTTTCTGTTTGTGAATTACACATTTTGTTTCTCCTTTTAATGATTGACTTATGTTTTGGTAGTTTTTTCTTTCGAGTTCTTATACATACTTGATACTGATCCAATTAGATGTTCAGCTGGCAAAGGCTCTCTGTCTCCTATCCTACAGACTGCCTCTTTGTTCTGATACGTGTTTTCTTTACTGAGCAGAAGCCTTTTCTTTCATGAGATCCCATCAGTCATCTTTTCGTCTTATTCCCTGAGATGCTGGCATCCTTTTCAGGGAGACCTTGCCTGTATCTTGCAGGCTTTACCATGTTTTTCTCCAGCACTTCTGTTTCATGTCTATCTTCTTTGACTCAGAACCCTGTCTGAGTCTGTGTGGGTACGTGAATTGCTCCAGGACACCTCTCCACTTCACTCATCTTGTCTCCCTTCAAGGTTGAAGACACTGAGGTAGTCTAGGCCCAGCAGAGCCAGGGGAGGGTGAACCATGGAGAAAGCATGAAGGTGAGGCTGCTCTGAAAAGAAGTGGTCATGTTGCAGGAGCCAGACTGATCCCCTCACATGACAACAACAACCAGAACTTGTTCACCTGCAGAATCAGGAGTGAGGCCACACCTTGACCAGTACTGTTTTCCTATGCTTTCCTGCCACAATCCCCCCCTCTATTTAAATCAAAGGCAAACTTGGGGTTTGTTTGTCCCCTTCTCCAATGTGTTGATAGATCTTCCTTCTCTATATTTTGGGTTTCTTTTTTCCCCACTACCACTTAACTCTTAGTTAGCCTAGCCTGCTGGGGCTGCTGAAGCTGTGGACTTTAGCCTAGAACTCTGGTTACAAAGAGACATCAGATAGTATTTTATTTTTTACCCTTTGAATTTGTTTTTGTTTACCTTTATAAACAAAAATCATTGCTAAATAGGGTGATCTCTTCTCAGCCTATGATATACATACATTTTAGAGTTAATGTATTCATTTTCAGCAAAAATGTGGCTAAAATCTCAGTTGTCATTGCACTGAATCCATAGAGGCTTTTTTGTTTTTGTTTTTCGAGATAGGGTTTCTCTGTGTAGCTTTGGAGCCTGTCCTGGCACTTGCTCTGTAGACCAGACTGACTTCAAACTCATAGAGGTTCATCTGCCTCTGCCTCCTGAGTGCTGGGATTAAAAGCATACGCTACCACCACTGGGGCTAAATCCATTGATAAATTTTAAGGGAATGAGTTAAAATAGCCAATCTCCCAGTTATAAACTTTGTGTTTCTATTGCTTTAAGCCTCTTAACACTACTTTTAGTAATGTTTTGTAGTTTTCTGTATAACTGTTACCAATATATAGAGGTTATTGTAATAGGCTATTTTTAGAGTTAATGCTCACTACTATATTCGGTACGCTAAATTCTATTTATTTTTTATTCATTGAATTCTCTATCTCCAAGATGTCTGTTTAATTTTACTTTATGATTATCTGTCCCTGTTGCTTTTCTCAACTAGAGCATGAATAGTTTTCCTGAAGCTATTAAATTGTCTATATGTATGAGTTCAGATTTCCTTGATATTATTTTGAATTATTTTTCATGCAGTTACTAAAATTCCATTGTTTTAGAGCCCTTTAAACATACTATATAAAACAGATATTACAAATCAAAATGACAACAGCACTGGTGCTCTTTATTGTCTCCTGTGGTTCAGTTAGTGACTGGCGGCTTTTTGTTTTAGCTGACAGGTTCCTTTTAGCACTATTAAAAAGTGTGTCTACTGATAACCCTTGAATTCCATAAAACTTTCTTTCTCGATTAAAAATGGCTCTTTTTCAAGTTTCCTGATTGAACATTATCTTGGTTGCTGTAAGTCTTTGCCTATTTTGAAGAACTTCAGTATAGTCCTGATATGTTTTTTGTTCATTTGTTTTAGTGTTTTCTCTTTGGGAAAGATGCTTAGATGTTACTGGTCTGCTACTTTGTTAAAGTTTTCTAGTTATCTTCAGGATTGTGGTTTGAAAGGTACAATTATCTGTACACATCCTAAATTCTTATGTATTTTGACAATATTTCCCAGTACTTAAATTTCCCATTTGAGTCACAGCACAGTGTAAGGTCATTGTATTGCCTGCACTCATTTCAGTGCATTACTATATATAATTTGATAACTATGTTCTGAAAGAACTAGCCATATAGCATATAACTAATGTCCCAAAAGCCTGCAATGGACAGAAAAACATACCTACTGTTTCCTGAGCAGGCAAAGGTAAATACACTATACATCACATAACTGGTTATTTGATGGAACAAATGATACATAAGTTAAGAATACATATTAGTATATAGGCTTACTGGAGCCTATATAACATGTATCTATTAGTATATAGGCTAATTATTATTATTAAGGAAGGATAGCTCTTGTTTAGGTTTTCTTTTTTAAACTGGAAATTCACAAATTGTAAAGTTGCAAAACTGCACCCATTATGTTCTACAGTGTTCAGTCATAAGCATGTACTTACCACGCACTTTGTCCATATCCAAGCGAAATATGATGTCACTAATCACTGGGTTCAGTGTTGTTGGATATTCGGGTACCTCCTGAACTTCTGTGACTGATTTAGTCTGAGCTGTAATAATAACAGACTCCAGATCAGCTCATTGTAAACGAACACTTGGAAGTAAAACTGAATCGCATGATGAGGGTCATTAGAGACAGTACACATTACAATCATTTAACTTTATTTACTTCATAACTCAACATTAACTGAAAAAAGTGTCAATATGTTAAGAATTATTTGTATTAATGTGTGTACACATGTGCATGTCAGGTGACTGCAGTGTGTATATGTCAAGTGAATGCAGTGTATGTATGTGTGTATGTCATGTGAGTGCAGTGTGTGTGCCTGTATGTGTGTATGTCACATGAGTGTAGTGTGTGTGTCTATATGTGTGTATGCCATTGAGTGCAGGTGCCCACAGAAGTGCGTTGTGTTGTTTGGAGCCCTTGGAACTGGAGTTAAAGGCTGCTGTGAACAACAGGGCTGAGAACTGAACTCAGGTCCTCCGGAAAAGCAAAATGTGCTCTTAAGTACTTAGTCATCTCTTTAGGCCTAAATCATCAATTTTTAAAAGCTTACAAAACTATATGCTATATGACAATCATTATGTTAACCTTTTCAACTATTGTCACTGTTTTGTGTATGTAGTATATACATGTGTACATGCCATGTGAGTGTATGTGTGTTGATGTCAGGTGCCTTCCTCTAGCACTCTCTGTTAAGACAAGACCTTGTCACTGAATCTGAGGCTTACTGATTCAACTAGAATGGCTGCTGGCCCTTGTGATTCAGGGACCTGTCTGTCTGCACTCCCACCAACCCTGGGGTATAGACATGAGCTGCCATGTCCAACTCAAATCTTTAAAATATCTATCTATCTATCTATCTATCTATCTATCTATCTATCTATCTATCTATCTATCTACCTACCTACTTACCTATCTATTCATTTATTTATTGTGTGTGCATGTGTGCATAAAGGCACACAAATGTATACCACAGTATAAGTGTACACTGGAGTCAGTTTTATTCTTCCTTCATTTGGGTTCTGGGGATTGAACTCAGGTTATCATGTTTGGCAGTAAGAACCTTTACTCCCTGAGCCATTTTGTTGAACTCCATGGCCAGCTTTTTTTTTCACATGGGTACTAAGGATCTGTACTCAGGTCCTCACACTTGTACAGCAAGCAATTTACTCACTGGGATATTTCCCCCAGTCCCCAGTATTATCTTATTCAATTCTCACAACACCTGAATAGCATTTAAGCCTCTACCAGATGAAGACAGTAGAGCTTAGAAAGATTATACATATTGTAAAAAGGTACATAGTTAAGGAATGTAGAAACTTGCACTAAACTCTGGTTCCATTATATTCCATAATCTACTCTCCAGGTCGCAGCTCAAATATGTATGGAACTGAGCATGTAATGTGCAGGACAGAGATTTGGTAGTAATGAAGAGGGGAAGGGGATTTGTGGAACAGCTGTTTCATGCAATGCTCCAGCTCACTGATTCACAAACACAGGACTAGGGTTCTAAAGTCTTTTATATTTTAAAGAGAAGTTAGATATCTAGATGTAAACTCCCAGCACTGTATAAAATGGCCACTTTGTCACACACTCATTTCAAGCACTAGGTAGAAGCAATAAGATCAGAAGTTCAAACTTATCCTTGGCTACATGGTAGATTTGGGGCTAAGGCAGGCGACCCTGTCTCAAAACCAAACAAAGCCAAAAACCATGTGTCTACAATGTTCTAGTCTAGTTATAGACCCTTGGATGATCTCCAAGAAGATGAAGCCTTTTTTAAATATGCTTTCTCTATGGCTCTACTCATCTGGGTCTCACTGAAACAGCCCTGTCTGTTAGCATCTGTTACTAGGGACACTTGATATTGCCCTATGGGTGCTGCCTTCTGTAGCTTCACATGGCACAATAGACAAGGTTACGAGGCATTCCCTAACAGCTTTAGGAGAGAACTGATGCCATTCACAAGAGTGGGGCTTTTCTGACTCAATCACTTCACAGTGAGTGTTACTATTCAACAATGGAGTCGGAGGCAGGTGGTCATATATATTTAGAGTTTTCAAAATTATACAACAATAATGAGAATAATTTACCTAGACAATAACTAACATAGTTTAGCAGATAATGGTACCTGATAATATTGAAATATGAATATAAGATGGATATACTTTCAAAACTGAAATAAATGTGATACAGCTACAAAATTCTTTTTTTTTTTTTGGTTTTTCAAGACAGGGTTTTTCTGTATTGTTTTGGAGGCTGTCCTAGAACTCGCTCTGTAGACCTAGAGTTCTGGGATTAAAGGTGTGAGCCACCAACGCCCGGCTTCAGCTACAAAATTCTTAGAAAAGTATTTCTTAAAGTGATAGTTCATGAAACATTAACAAAAATAAGAAAAAAAAGAAGAGCCCTTTACTCAAGTATAGTTTAAAAAGAACCTTCATGCATGTTTGTGTTCATGTATATGAATGCATACACACATGTCACGGTGTGTTTGGAGGACAGAGGGTAGCCTTGGCTGTTTGCCTCACCTTCCACTTTGTCTGAGACAGGGGCAGCGGCTCTCTTGTTCACCACTGTGTACTTCAGGCTAGTTGGCTTTCGAACCCCTGGACATTCTCTTCTCTCTACCTGGAAATGTAGGCACCACTCCATCTAGCTCTACATGGGGTCCAAGGTCCTCATGCTTTTAGGGCGAGCACTTTCCCACTGAGCTATTTCTCCAACTCCAAATAAAACTTAGAAGGGCCAAGCGATATTGGGAGCATCAAGAACTGTCTGAAGCCAAGGGCAGTGCTAGTAGTACTTTGACACTCACTAGTGCTGTCAAACTTAAATCTTGGTAAATTATACTCTAAAATTTTCATTCTGAGAATGATTCAACTATAGAGTTACAAATAAAGTTGCCTCACATTTAAAACAAGTTTTTAAATCATTGAACAATTCATGACTCTTATTTAAAATGTATTTAAAAATGTGCCGCACACCTTTCAGGCTCTGCTGGGTCATGCTCTGTGATTCTAGGTCTTCCTTTTTAAAGATTCTACTCACATTTTTTTCTGCCAGAAAGTAAAAGGAAACAAAATTTTAATGAATTAAAACAGTCATGTCAAGGCTTACCAACTATGGCCTGATCTTAAAATGACTACAATGTCTGAAAGTTAGGTACATCTTTTTACACATCATTCATGTAAGAAGAAAAATGTTATCTCATTAAATGTTAGCAGTTAATTTGACAGATCTGGAATCATCCATGACAAAACTGAAAAGTTAGGATTGTAAGTTTGCTCCTAGACATTTATACAATAGCATCATTTCTATTTTAACCCAACAGCTGACCCTTGATTTCTATGAGCTATTCTTGTTAAGTATGAATATACAAGAATTTAAATAATAATTTCCTCACAATTACCTACTTCTGGTAAAGTTAGTAGTATGAAGAAGAAATATGTTGAAGTGGCGTAGGATGGTATTAATGCTAATATTACTTATATGACTACATAGTTTGTCAATAAAGATAGATTTTTATATGTATGCATGTATATATATATGTGTGTGCACTCATACATGTATGCACATGTACATATGTGTACATATGCCCACATGTGTGTCGAGCAGAGGTCAATGCTGAGTGTTTTCCTTAATTACGGTTCAATTTATTTCTTGCACTGATCTTGGAGCTCAGTGATTCTGCTAGACCTGGGTAAGAGAACCTCAAGGGTCTTCTTGCCTTTGATTCCCTAGCACTGATAGTCTAAGAAGATATGATTAACCCAAATTTTATATGAGTTCTGGGGACTGAATTAGGACCTAATATTTTCATGTAAACCCATTTACTGGTTAAATTACCTTCTCATGCCTCTCACAAAGATTCTTTTATGATGAAAATATATTTAAGATTTAGGATAATATTCACAGGTCAAAGGGATGACACATTTTCAGCATCACTGACACAGGTAGATTTTAAAAATAAAACTGAAAATCATTTTCATATAGCCATTCCCACAGATGATTAATAACAACCCAGTACGTATGTCCATCTTTGAGATCTAGTTCCTCATATCCTTCTCAGTAGATATCTTTTCTCATCACAGAAATGTTTTTAATTGAGAAAACATTGGTCAGGAGAGCTGACACAGCCCAGGATTAAGATGCTCTGAAGGGACTTGCAACTGACTGTATTCTTTCCTCCTAGGTTGGGAAGAAGGCAGGAACAGTTCTTGAGAGAGATTCTGTGGCTATACCATTTTGTTGGAGTGAGCAAAAAAAATTTGGCATCACTCTATCTCCAAATTCTGGGGTCATTGGCACCTCTGCTGACCACCAGGCAGACAACAACATCCACAACTACATGAGTATAAGAAGCAAGCTGAACTTGACACACACATGAAGGAAAGCAGCTGAGGTCCTGGTGGGATGACAGAACACAGCTGCAATGGGTAAATACAAGTCCCCCTGACCCTGAGCCTCTGATAATGAAAGTTACACATAGAAAGTATGATTATACAGCATTTCAGAGAGAAGGCAGTGGTTGCTAGAATCCAGGGAGAAAGTACGGAAGCAGGCAATCTGCTGAGGATTGGGAAATGCCAATAATAAATACCTGTTACTCTTGTGCATGACTAACACAGCAAATCACAAATTCTGATTGTAACTTGTTTGAACATATCAGAATAGCATCAGAGCACTCAGCAGAGCCCCTAAACACTGCAAAGAATACATGATATATTTCAATACCTGTGAATCATGGTTACTGTATAATTGATGGAGTGATAAGAGCATTTCTAAACAAGAACAAAAAGGCCATTCCATGATCAACAAGCTAGCATAGCAGAAGCTATTTACAGGAGACGCAATACAGAGGAAGAAAGTCTTAAATATGAGCACATGGAAGGAATAAATTACATGGGAGGAACGGTTCAATAAAATAAAACTAGGAAAAAAAATCGATCATGGCCAACACAGTAAACTAGCAAAGCCATAATACTAATGGGGGAGAGAGGGAAGCATGAACAACAATCCAACCATTCAGGAAAACAGCCCACAGAATCACAGGAACTAATAAATACCTTTCCATTATAATCTGCATTACAGCTGGCATATGAACAAAGAGATGCAGACTAGCTGATGGGATTTACAAAACAATACCCAAATATCTGTCATCTCCAGGAAGGATTTCTCACTGGGCAAAGATGCCTACAGATTACAGTCAAGTGACAGAAATTTAAATGAGAGCTGAAAACGAGCTGGCATAGCTATTCTGGTATTGGTATCTCATAAGAATCGCAATTATGCAGGTATCTCGCAGAAATGTATTGATTTCATCTATGTTTTTAAAATATAAAATTCTTAGCTATTCCCTAATGCTTCTCTTGATATTGTGGACTTAAATCTGATAATGTAAACTTGAAAACCAAAGTTACAAGAGATGAAGTAGGGCATTATATTTGAATAAAGATAATGAGACATCAAAAAGACATGAGAAACATAAATGTATATCCAGTGAACACTGGGGACCTCAATTTCACAGGAAAGAGTAGCACATTAATGAACACAATACTACAGAGAGATTGTTATAATGGGTAACTTTCATCTATTGCTATGTAATAATATAAACTAAAAACCAACAAAGAAACTTCAGTGTTAAATTACACATATATCAACATCAAATGTCCATTTAAAAGATATCCTAAGGAATATTTGACCCAACAGATATAAAATACACATCTTGGAACTTTCTTTAAAATAGGTCATGTTCTAGATCACAAAGAGCCTCACACATGAGAACAGAAATATTTTATTGTATCTTTCAGATTATAGTAGAATAAAACTATAAATCAATAGCAAGGTAAACCATTGAGACCATACAAATTGAAGACTGAACAGCACATGTTGAATGAAGAACAAGAAATTTTAGTTAATAATGTGCCTGAAGTTTTAGAGCATTAAGAAAGAGAAACAAATAAAAGTGACACAAATAAGAAATGAATAAGTTAAATTATCCCTACTTGTGAATGGCATGATCCTTTACTTAAAAGGACACTACAGACTGCCAGGGAAGTCTCAGATCAGCAAAGAATTAGGATATAAAGTTAATACACACAACAAGTAGTTTTCTAAATACCAATAGTGAAGTTTCTGAGAAAGAAGTCAGGAAAACAATTAACATTCACAGTAGCTTAAGAAATATATAGGGGAAGGAATATGAATAAGAATAAGTTATAATTATCTATACCATTTACAATTACCTTGTGATGTACACATTGGGTTTTATTTAACCATAGAAACTAGTGTGTGTAATAATGGAATCTTCATAAGAGAAAACATGCAGTCTTTTATCTTTGCTTTTCCCTATTGCCTTATTTTACTCCCCTCCCCCTTGAATGATATAGATTCTGTATATGAGAGAAAATATGCAATATCTGTCTTTCTGAATCTGTTTTATTTCATGTACATGATGACCACCAATTTTATCAATTTTACTGCAAATGACATTTTGCAGGTTTTCTTTTTAATGGTTAAATAAAATTCCATTGCATATATCCAAGTTTCTACACTAATTAGTATGTTGATGGGCACCTGGGCTGATTCTATACATTGGCTGTTGTGAACTGTACTACAGTCAACACAGATGGGTATGTGCGTTTTTACTATGGATATATAGATTTGGATGTGTAGCCAGGAGTAATAAAACTTGATCATATCATGGATGGTTTCATTTGTATTTTTGTAGTATTTTTAGAACCTCCATATTGATTTCCATAGTGGTGACACTAGCTTATATTACCACCAGAAGTATTTTATCTCCTTGGTTAGGTTTATTCCTTGGTAGTTTTTTTATACAGTAGCATACAAAATAATAGGCTTCATTACAGTATATGTAAGCATATTATGTGTTCACTACCTTCTCCCCAGGTATATTTTAAGCTACTGTGAATAGATTCTTTTCACTGATTTCTTTTTCATCAATTTCATTATTAGTATTTAGAAAAGCTACTGATTTTGTGTGTTGATTTTGCATATGTTATGTGCGAGAGGCATGTTTGCATGTGTGTGGATTTAGGTGTGTGCACACATGTATGTGCACAAATGTGGAGGCCTGAGGTTAATGTCATAAGTTTTACTTGACCACTTTCCATTTGATTTACTGAGGCAGAGTCTTTCACCAAACCCTAAACTCACTAAAGTGGCGAGTTAACTAGCTACCTTGCCCTAGGGATCCTGTTTCAATCTCCCAAAGACTAGGATTAAAGATGGACTTCCATTCTAGGCTAGCTTTTGTGAATTTCTGGGATCTAGACTCTGGTCTTTATGCTTGAGGGACAAGACCTTTATCCACTGAGCCATCTGCCCAGTCTCTATGACCACATTTCAAATTTGTTCTCTTTATAAGCATGGTTATAGGACTCAAGGCTATTTGCTGTCATACATACCAGGTGTTTTCTATGTGGGTAGTTTTCAGTTTCTTAAATTGAGGATGATCTTTAGATGTTGGGTCTATTGACATATAATTCTCATCAGACCTTAGCTCGATGTTCTGACCTATAAAGCAGATGTGTGAAATTCATTGAAGAGAGTCATACTCCAAAACCATGATGTAACACAATGGCATATTTCTTTCTTCATTTTATTAAGGTGGTGATTTCCAATATTACACTGTATAGCTAAATAACCATCATCTATCTTTTTTACAACTTATAAAAATATTAGCGTGGCTGAGAAGTCATGAGTTATAATCCTTCTCATGAAATTCAAAAATCCCAAAGGGGGAAAACAAATTTGGGAGTTTTAGGTCAATGGTGTGAGACTAAGGTAGGTTCAGTAGTGCTCATTCTTAATGGAGAACCTAGATGTTGAAATGATGTGGTCTGGATGGGCTCAGAATCTGAATCTTACTAGAATATATTCTTAAATACTTTCTTTTCTTTATCATTGTTCATCTCCACTACATGAAACACTTCTGCTTTTCTCAACCCATTTCTGTCTTTTACCCATTTATTTCTCAGATTGCTTAATGTTAAAGTATATTTTGTGTATTAACCCTTTACTTGGCAATATA